TGCCATGCGGGGGGGGGGTGCCGCCGTGCTGAGCTGCCTGCACCCCCTGGCTGTCACCTCTGTTCTCCCAGGCATGTGCACAGGGAGCCCCCACGGCAGTGGGCACGCTCGGACCGTCAGGGGGCACCTGCCGGAGGCCCCCAGTCCTCCCTGCCATCGGCTCGGGGCCCTTGATGGAGGTGCTTCCCATGGGGGAGCTCTGCCCAGGTCCCCGCCACCTCCACCCCTCCATCCGGAAAAACAGCAACAGCCAACAACTTATGTATTTATTTACTTCGCCGGATGGAGGGAGTCGGGCTGCGAGGCGCGGCAGCTGGGCCGTGGGCGGGGGCCGCGTGCGGGGAGCCATCTGCCTCGTCAGCTCCTCACCCAGCAGGAAAGTGGCGGCCCCTCTCAGTCACTTGGCTGGCAGCGCTGTTGGCAGCCACCGGCAGGGACTCCGCTGCCATGGGATGTGGCCTGGCCGCCCTGCCTGCCGGGGGTTGGCGGGAGCCTCATGGCCCTCGACTGTCTTCGTGAGCTGGCCTGGCCAGACACCGGCAGGGCGGCCAGGCGAGGGAGGCCTCCGCGCCTTGAGGGGCAGCCCTCGTAGGGTGGGCGCTCGAGGCCCTGACGTCCACCGAATGCGGCTCCGAGGCCCGGCTCGGGGAGCCCAGGATGCACAGTGTCCCCAGAGACGTGCAGGGAGGCGCACCCGCCCCTGGCGCCTTCCTCTGAGGCCTGTCGGTCCAGCTGGCCCACATCCATCACTAGACAGTGTTCGTTTTTTGTTGTTTTTTCCACCCGAGGACGTGCTTATGTCCAAGGACATGCTTATTGATTTTAGAGAGAGGGGAAGGGAGGGGGAGAGGGAGAGAAACATCAATCATTGCCTCTCGGGTGCTCCATGAGCCAGGCACGGTCCGACTGCAAACCGACCTCTCAGCCTTCCGGGTTAGGGGACGACGCCCCAACCTACCGAGCCCGCTGACCAGGCCAGGCTGCATTGGCCCCGGGTGAGGGCAGGTCCCAGCTGAGGAGCTGGCTGGGGGGCGCCAGGTGTCAGAGACTGGGAGCCGTGCGGCCCGGGCCGGGCACTGGCATCTCCTCCCGCCGAGTGGACGTGGGAATTGACCGCTTTTGGCGCTAGCAGCATAGACGGGCGTTGCCTGTGCTTTGGCCTCTGCCCCTCCCCTGGCGAGAGAAGCCTCCAGGCCTTTGGGGCACACGCCTGGGACACTGGGTGGTCTGTTGGTGCTGCGGGGGGAGGAGTGGGGTGACCGGGTGGAGAGTTGGCCTTCAGGGCGGACCCGAGGGCGAGCTCGGGATAGCTCTGCTGGGCTGTTGTCACAGCTGCCCTTCAGGAACAGGTGGGACGAGGGGACACCAGCGAGGTGCCCACCCTGCACGTGCACGACCCCGGCAGGCCCCGGGGCCCCTCACTCACCCCCAGACCCAGCGCCGCGCTCCCCTGGTTTCCAGACCCTGTGGTCCTCACACAGACACTCCCTCTCTCCACCTCTCGCTACCACAGTTTGTGTCCTTTGTGCCTGGTGGGGGAGGGGCCAGGGTCCTCGGGCTGCAGCTGCCCCCTGGCCTGGTCAGCTTTCCCTTCTTACTAACTATGGAAATTTCAAATATGTGCAAAAGTAAAGAGAAGGACAAACGCCTGTGCTGCTTTCCGCGCGGCCGGCCTTGTCCTCCCTGCCATGCTCACTGGGAGCAGATCTCGGGTCACACATCCCCTCCACGCAGTTCAGTGTGTCTCCAGGAGACGAGGGCTCTTGTCGTTGGCTCGTCCCCAGCGGCAGGCTGGGCTCTTGCCGATCGGCGCGGCGTCCTCCTGTGCTGGGTGACCACAGAAGCTAGAAGGGGCCCCAAGGTTGCCCCTGGTAACTTTTGGTACCTCGGCTGCCCGCTAATAGAGTACCACGTGCTGAAGCCTCCATTTGGGGACTTCATGGGCTACTCTACCTAGTCCTCAAAGCCGCATGGAGCGGGAGGGACAGCCTGACTGTTGTCACTTTGCAGGTGAGGAAACAGGCACAGGGTGAGAGGAACTGCCCTGGGCCACTCTGGACACGCTGCCTCCTGCTCATTCCCAAGGAGGCCATTCCTGGCGTGGATCGGTCTCTGTTGTGGGCCCTGGCTCTGCTGTTTGCTGTTGACAGAGGACCCTAGGGGCTGCCTGTGGGTCAAGACCTTCCCAGGGACCCTCCTCGCAGCTGGCCCTCTCGTCCCCACTCGGCTGCTCTTCGTCCTTGGGCCACACCGTTGTCACCTGCCCACGTAGCATCACCTGCCTGGTTTGGGCGTGCCATCAGCTAGAAGGCAGGCTGCAGGCGGGTCTGGCGCCTGTGCACAGGGGGTGCCTTGTGCTTCTGGAGACGGGGGTGGGGGTGGGGGGGGCTTGGCCGCAGGGCTGCGGACGGCCGGTGCTTGGTTTCACTGAGCGAGCATCTCCTCCACCCTGCAGCCCCTCGTGTGCCAGGGTTTGGGTGTGGGGACCGCCACCCCGGACCTTCGCTCCAAGGTCCTAGGAACTGGGAGGAGGCGCCCCTTCTCGCCCCTGCCATGGCCCCGGGCGAGAGCAGCTTCCCTGAGACGGAGCCGCGCCTCGTAAAGTCCTCCTGATTGCAGGGCGCGGTGGGTGGGCTTTGGTGCCCTCGCCGGGGCCATCGCCCTCACCGCAGTCAGCCTGAGAACATTTCACCGCTGTGAAGAAAACCACCGCACACGGAACCGTTGCCCCTCCCCGGCTCCGGCGGCCGCGGACCTGCCCTCTGGGCTTGTCTGTCCGGGTTGTGTCACAGAGAGAACGCACGCACGCGGTGGGCCTTTGTGCCCAGCCCCTTCTCTCGGTTGGATGTTGATGGCTGGTGGTGAACAGGGACCACTGGGAGGACTTTGGTCCTCCTAGCAACCCTGTGGGCTGGATGCTGGCCCACTTTACAGCAGAGGATTGGGGGTGAGGCCGTAGGGCCCCACGGTTCAAACCAGGCTGGCCTGGCCCCGGCACTGGCCTCAGAGGGGAGGCGGGCCGGTTAGGGGGCAGAATGAAGAGGCCACTCCGGGAAGGCGGGGCGGGGCGGGGCGGTGGGCTCCCTGGTGCGCCGGCCCGTACCCTGGCTGGGCTCGGCTTCCTCGGTGCCACCAAAGCCAGTTCCACAGGGGACGGGAGGGGTCCCCTGTCGTTCCAGCCTCGTGGCCCTGACCTTGCATTCGTGGCCACGTCAGCTGTTGCCCATTTGGGGCAGGATGGATGGCGGGGGGCTAGGGCCCTGCTGCTCGCAGGGGTCCACGGGCCGGCAGCGTCACGCTACCTGGGTGCTTGTTAGAACCGGGGCTGGACCAGAGTCTGTGTTCGCAGGACCCCCGGGCGGGAGCGGCCCTGCCGGAGCCCAGTCGCCCATGTGTGCACAGCAGCCCCCGCCGTGTCCAGCAGGATGAGGCTCTGTCCCCCGCGGCACCTTCAGCAGCAGGGGCTGGGCCCCGAGTCGGCCGGCCCCAGGGAGCTCAGGCCTCTTGCCCTTGGAACGGCCGGAGACGGAACCAGAGCAGAGGACGACCTTCATCACCAAAGGGTCTTGGGAAAGCCACCACTTTCCCCGCGTGCTGCAGAGACTTTCCAGGCGGGAATCAGAGGCCCTGCAAGGAGCCCGCTCCTCGTCCCTCAGCGCGCGAGGGTTCCGTCGGTTCACTCCCGCTGGCGTTTGAGGACGGCTTCTGGGAAGGCTGAGGAATACTTGGTCCGGCCTGACAGTACATCCTCTGCTGACTGCTCTCTTTTGCCGATACACCATTTGTCTGTACCACACTTGAGCCTAAAAATAGCTGCGAGGCCTGGTGTCACTGGATGAAGGGCGGCCGCCCCACTTCTTCGGCTTTCAGACACTCCCAAAGTGTCACGAGGAAATGCCATCCCGGCGGAATCTGCACGATTCTTGACATCTCAATCCCCAGCCAGGCGGGCAAGAGCGAAGTCTGTGGTGGGACAAAAGGGGCCTCGGGAAGTGGCCATCTGATGCTGCGGATACCTCAGCCCAGGGGTCACAGACTCAGCAGCCAGGCCACTTGAGTGAAAGGGGGCACCCGTTCAGACCTCCACCCCAAGTCAGCAGGCATGAGCCGCCTTTGGCCAAAGCCTGGCTGGTCAGTTGGCTCCGCCCCCCAGCATGGGGTCCCTGCTTCTCCCGTTGCTGAGAAGAAGGAAGCTGCAGAGAAGGTGGCGAAGACTAAGGTGCCACTTCCTGGGCATCTGTGCCATCCAGGGCTCCCTGCCCACAAAACAGCCACTGTTGCTCCTGGTGCAGTGACGTGGCCTTCTCAAAGGCACGTGGCCAGCACGGCATTTGTCCTCGCTGTCCTTTGGGGCAGAGGCCATGCACCCTTGCCCTTGCAGAGCAGCACAGATGTGGGGCCCCGGCAGGGTCCCCCCCGTTCCCTCTCTCTCGGCTCTGCTGTGGATCTCCGCTCCCACATTCTGTGTCCACTGTACCTGCAGCTCAAGGTCATTGCCAGAGGGGCACGAGGCGTGGGCCTCACTGCTGTGAAAGCTGACGGGGGGCTGCCCGCAAGGCCCGGCTGCTCCCTGTTAGCTACGTCCCTGCAACCCTGCAAGGCCTTGTCCTGGAGTCTCCTCTGCAGAGCTCCCGCCATGGGCGGTGCCCCCGACCCCTCAACAGGTCTTGGCTGTCAGGCCTCGCCTGGCCCCCGGGGAGTCCCAGGAGGCCAGTGGGGCAGGGCCAGGGCCCATGGTCCCGAGTCCCGCGCGTCTCTAACCTGCCTGTTTCTGTGTGTGATCCACAGCCCGAGACCGAGGACGAGAAGAAGCGCTTTGAGGAAGGCAAAGGGCGGTACATGGTCCCGAGTCCCACGCGTCTCTAACCTGCCTGTTTCTGTGTGTGATCCACAGCCCGAGACCGAGGACGAGAAGAAGCGCTTTGAGGAAGGCAAAGGGCGGTACATGGTCCTGAGTCCCGCGCGTCTCTAACCTGCCTGTTTCTGTGTGTGATCCACAGCCCGAGACCGAGGACGAGAAGAAGCGCTTTGAGGAAGGCAAAGGGCGGTACCTGCAGATGAAGGCAAAGCGGCAGGGCCAGGCGGAGCCTCAGCCCTAGATGCCGCTGCCTGCCGCTGGCCCGGAGCTGGCCCAGAGCCGCCCCGTGCCTGTCACTTAGAAGTTACCCCGTTGGCCAAAAACCAGTCCATGCGGAGAGCTGGTGTCGTGTGCAGTATGTGTCTCACAGTGTTAGCCTGTCCTCCTGAAAACCTGTACACCAAAGCTTTATTTATGTCACTCCAGTGTGCGTGCTACACAGTGTTGTCCCCGACCTGGAGGAGGTCCCGGAGCCTGGCGGCACCGTCCACGTGCACTGAGCAGTCTGCGAAGACTCCAGCGCCAATAAAGCTGCTGTTTGGCTGGACCTCAGTCCTGTGTGCTCTTCTGTCTTGGGGGTTCCCGTGGGCTCACCCCTTCCCACCCCCGCCCCTCTGGCTGCCAGTCCCTGTGTGTGCCCCAGAACCGCAGGCACAGCGGTGCCCACTCGTGTCTGCCAGAGGACTTGCTGGCTGGAGAGAGCACCCCTTCCCCCTGGGGCCCTGCCTCCAGGTCCTGGCCCCGGGGCCCGCATGGCGCTCCACTCGCCCTCTGTCCAATGCCGAATGGCAGCTCTGTGCCTGTGCGGCCCTCCCGTAGGCAGCGGGTGGGGCGGGGCGCCTGTGAGGAGCCCGGGAGGGGACACCCGGAAGAGCCGGGCCCAGCCCAGCATGGGGCCCCTTCAACCAGGAGCATCCCCGCACCTTGGCTCCCCTCTCAAGAGCAAGAGGCAAGGACTCTGGACAGGAGCCTCCTGGCTAGTGCCAGGGCCCGTGCCCGGTGGGAAATTCCCCCAGCCGCTCCAGCGGCGGGCTTGTGGGCCTGCCTCGTGGGGTGGCGGTCTGAGGGGCAGTGTGTCAGTGGTACCGGTGTGAGGCTGGGTGGGTGTGTGCACGTGCGTGTGCGTACGGCCCAGCCGCGGCCGAGAAGGCCCCCTCCAGGCACACCGGGGGACGGTGCCCGGGAGAATGAACGCTCCTGCTCAGGCTTGCCTCTAAAGCCTGGAGACGAGACCGGCTGCCAGCAGCTCCCGCAGGCTCCCGCAGGAGCGCAGCTCCAGATGTGCAGAGACACCCGCCAAGAGCTTCGGAATCTTCCTGGGGCCCCGTGGCGGCTGACAGGGTTATTTCCTGCCTGGGAGCAGGGGGAGGGAACAGCTGGCCAAGGAGGCCGCAGCAGCCCCACGGGCCCCCGCCTCAGGCCCCTGGAGGCCTCCCCCGCTCCTCCCACACCCCATGCCAGCTGCCGGAAGGCTGGCAGTGCCCTGGGCTGGGGCAGCAAGGCCTCCCCAGGCAGCCCGCGCCAGCCACGCCAAGGTCTGTGGAGCCAGGGCTGGCCACACAGGCCCCAGGGTGCCCGAGCTCAGGGACTTCCCAAGGCAGGCGGCCGCAGGGCACCTACATCCTCCCTGAGAAGGTGGCCCTGGCCTCAGCTCCCCAGTTCAGCCCTGGCTGGGCTACACCTCCGTGTGGCTTTGGGCGAGTTAGATACCTAAAGCCCACCTTTCAGGGCAGCCCTGGGAGGCCCACCTCCCACCTGCCCCCAGGGCCTGCTGAGCCCTGGGTAGGGGCGCTCTTAGACCGCAGTGGGCGAGCAGGGCTGGTAGACGGCCGCTTGAGGCCATGGGCCTGGGGCAGCAAACCTTAGAAATTCCATTTACCTTAGAAATGCCACGAGAGCTTGCCCGCCTGCCACTGCTGGTGGTCTATTTATAACCAGGGCCACTGGGACAGCGAGCTGGCCTGTCCTCCCAGGTGCCACACACACGGAGTGCATAGCGCCCCCTCCACGGGCCGCGTTTCCCTGTGTAGCCTTTCTGCACAAGCACCTTCGCTTGTCTCAGGGGGCTGCCACTAAGCCCTGCCCCGGGCCCCCGAGAAGCTGCTCCTCACTCTCCAGCTGCTGAGGGGCGTGGGGCCGGTGCTGGTGGGGCCGGAGCCAGGCTATGGAGCAGCGCAGATGGCACTGGCCGCATCTGGCTGGGTTCTGTCCTGGGCAGATGCTGCCTTCCTCCAGACACAGGGCTGCCCGCTCCTGGGTACCTCCCAACTGCATGGGCAGGGCCATGCGCAGCCGGGCAGCCCAGGGTGACTCCGGAGGCCTCGTGTGCAGGGTGTGGGAGGTCACAGGCTTCCTGGAAGAGGCAGGTGGTATCCTCTACCTGGACAGGAGGCCAAGATGCCAGGGGCCACTCTCGTGATTCAAGGGGTCTCCAGAGGCCCTATCAAGGGGACTAACGGTTTATCCCTAGATGTCCCCAGCCTATGGATGCCAGCCTGTATCCCCTTCAAGAGCTGCATGGTGGTGGTCCCAGCTTGAGGATATTCCTGAGCCGGACCCAGGAAGGGACAGCCACCCGGGAGCCCTTCGTCCATTCACCTGTTTCCTGCAGTGGATCTCCAATGCCAGAGGAGAAGCTTACCTGGCCCAGCCTCACCCCTCCCTGCCCGGGTGCCGGGCCTGAAGGGCACCTCCGTTCCTAGAAGGTGCTTGTTCTCAGGCCCCCACCTCCTCTTCTCCACATCCCCTCACTGTTCACCCTAGATGTGGCTTCCTCTGGGAAGTCCTGAGCCTCCCACCCCTGGTCCTAGGGTCCCACTGTCTGTTCCTGTCCCAGGCCCTCTTGGCTGGGCCTGGGTCGTCCCCAGGTGGGGTCGGGGCCAGCATCGGGACTGTGGCCCGACCCAAGACGGCAGCGAGGGGCCATGGCTTGACCAGGGCGCTTTTGGAAGCTCTGACCACCCTTGGCGCGGCTTTAGCGCCGCGGCGGGGGTGGAGAGGGACGGCAGACCCACGACGCTCGGACGGGCGGCCGCGGCGGCCGCGCCTGGGGAGTGGGGGCGCGGCGGCTGAGGGGCGGCGCGGAGGCGCCCGCGGAGGCAGGCGCCCTGCTCCGCCCCCCGCCTCTGTCCGCCCAGCGCATTCAGCCGGGCGGCGCGAGCGGAGCGCGGCGGTGACGGCTGCGCGCGCGGGGAGGGAGGCGAACAGGGAGGGGCGGCGGGGCCGTGCCGAGCCGAGCGGGCGCGCCGGCCACCGGCAGCGGCCGCCAGGATGCTCCGGCCCTCGGGCCGCTCCGCTGCCAGCCGCTCGCGCTGTCCCCGGCGACCGGCACTCGGGCCTGGAGCGCGGGAGCCCCAGACGGAGCCGGAAGCGGGAGCAGCGAGCAGGAGCCCCGGGCGCCCGAACGCGCGGTGAGAGCAGCCGCCCTGCTTGGGGGCGGGCGGGCGGACTTCTGGGCGGGGAGGGGCTGTCCACGGTCTGTCGGTCGCAGCGTCTGTTCGAGGGGCCTCGGGAGCCGCTTAGGGCTGCACCACCACCCCCCACTTGGGGACCTTCGCGGTAACTTCGCCGGGGCTGGCTCCCCCCTCCGTCCCCCAGCCCCAGGGTTTAGCAGCGCCGCCCCGGGGTCTCGCTTGCAAGCGGCGGGGATGACCATTCCAGGGGCCCCCACCCCTGCCCAGCGTAGCCCGCGGCGGCCTCTGGGAACCGCAGTCCCGCCTGCGTCCGGCTCCCCCGGCTGCCTCTAGGACGCGCCTTCGGGGCTGAGCAGGGCTGGGGGGCCCGCTGGGGCTGGTCCGGCGGGGTCCCAATTTGGGCAGCGAAGAGCGGGGACCGCGGGGACGGGGGGCGTGCCGGAGACGCGGAGGCTCCACGCCTCGAGCCCCGCCCTGGACGGCGGCGAGGCGGGCCCTGCGGACCGGTCGTCGGCCCTCGGCGGCGCGGGCGGACAGCAGCCCGGGGGCGGAAGACCAAGCCCGGGGAATCCTTTCAAGTTCTGGATCTCCTTTGTTGCGCAATCGGGCCCTGGGGCCGCGCGGCCTCATTGGCCGGAGGCCGTGACGTCACCTCGGGGCCCCGCCCGCGGCCCCTGCGGAGGGTGTCTCGCGGGCTCTGGGGTCCCAGGCCGGTCACACCTGCGTCCCGCCCTTTGACGTTGGGAGTGGGGGATCCCCATTCCGAAAGGCTGTAGGGATGCGTTGGGTGCGATGCAGGAGCAGCTTGGCCTCGGGGGTAGTGACGCCCTGGGTGCAGCCCCCACTGCAGGGAGCCCAGACGGGGCTCTGGACGCAGGCACCCTCTGTTCGTGAAAAGGGAACAGCAGGGTGTGATCTCTGTGTCACCATCCTGCAGGGAGGGGACTCCCTTCTCCCAGAGAGCCAGCACCCCTCACTCTGAATTTGGAGACCTTGGTATACACTCCCCACGCTCACCCCAGTGACATAGGTCTCCCGTGCCAGGACTGCCACGCGCAGGAGCCCAGGCCCCAGACCGGCCCACACACGGCCCTCCACGTTTTGTGCTAGGCTCCACCCCTGTGTTCCTCTCTGCGTGTGGGGACAGCCGGGCCCACCCTGCATGGGGAGGAGGCTGAGAAAGACCATCTTGGCTCGAAGAGCGAGACACGCCTTGTTCCTGAGCATTTTGGTGTTTGAGACCAGGACTTATTTTCTTTTCTTTTTTCTTTCTTTTTTTTCTTTTTCTTTCTTTCTTTCTTTCTTTCTTTCTTTCTTTCTTTCTTTCTTTTTTTGAGAGGCCAGGATTTTTCTGTCAGGCCAGCTAAGTTTGGGTCCTCTGCTCGGGCATGTGATGGCTTGGGCGAATGGCTTTGCCTTTCTCTGCCTCTGCTTGACCATCTTTAAAGTGGGGATGATGACATTGTGCAACGAAGTCCCTGGGGCAGTGTGCCTGATCACCGCCGCATCGCGGGGTACCTCCCGGGCCTGCAGACCTAGCGCCTTGCCCTGCAGGGAGGCACCTGATACTATGCAAGGGGATCAGCCGGCATGTGGAGGGTCAGGCCAGCGGCAGCCTGTGGCTCCTTCCCCCAGACCCTGCACCAGGGCTGTGGGTCAGACAGCCCGCTGGGCCATGTCAGGGAAGGCCTCCCCTCTGCCGGCCAAGGTGGCCCAGTGCGGGTGGAAAACATGCGCCCCCTCTCCGCCATGCATGGGAATCCAGCTTCCTGTTGGGTAGCTAGAGATCGCTGGTTTCTGCAGCCCCTGGCCCACAAGGGCCCCCACAGTGCTTGCCCTGGACCCCCAGCGGGCTGCCAGGCACCCCGCAGCGCCCCTGACCCCCAAGGTGAGCTGTCCCAAGTGCTTGCTGGGCAGGGAGCCTGCAGGTCTGAGGCTCACCCACACCTCCAAGCGGTGCCTTAGTGCTCAAGAAGCCGCGTAGCTCAGCCAGCGGGCTGGCTCAGTTCAGACGCCCATGTGGCAAGGACGCCGTGAGCACCGCTTACTGCGTGCCAGCTCCATTCTAAGCCCTGCCCCTGGCAGAACTTCCTGACGACCCACAGCGCTGTCCACAGTAGGTACATGATGTCACATCCAGCCTGCAGAGGAGAAGGCCGAGGCCCGGCTGAGCGCAGTCACTGGGGGGAGCTGGAGTCCACAGCTCTCGCCCCACGCGGTGTGTGGCCTCTATGTGCTGAGGTCAAGGACCTTTGCGGGACACCAGAAAGGCTGGGTGGAGGATCTGACGGGGCCCCCCCACCTCCCCCACTGGGCCTGGATGGGGAACGAAGGCCACCCTGCAAGTGGAAGCCTCGTGTTTGAGAAGGAAGTCGCTGGCCCCGGAAGTCCCCTGAGCCCCTTCGGAGGCCCTTAAGGGGGCACTGGTATGTTCCAGAATGGGCTCCGCCCCCGGGCCAGGCGTCCGGGCAGGCCCACAGCAGGGTGAATGAGACGCGCCCCTTGGAGGCCCTCGGTGTCCGGGCGGTCAGGCCACAGGCAGACCAAAAGAACCTCGGACGAGAGCAGCCCGGGGGCCTGGCCGTGCTGCAAGCGCTGAGTCCTCTGCCCCGAGCACCAGGGTCCGGCGGTGGCCTGTCCTTCCCCAGCCGGAAACAGTCCCTGAGGGATCCCATGGCCCCCGTTCACGTTGGGGCAGAAGCGCAGCCAGTGAGGCTCCCAGGCGAGAAGGGCCAGTGCGGGCAGAGCGCACAGCGGGCCTCCCCTCGGCGTGCGCTTCTCCCCGCGCCGACGGCTCCAGGCTGGCCGGCGGGGCCTGTCCTGGGGGCCTTGCCTCACAGGGAGTGGCCAGCATCCCCGCAGGAGGTAGCTGAGGGCTGCCGGGCTGGGGGGCGGGAGGGTGGGGCTCACCGTCCAGCCCTCCAGCAGGATGGGAGCCTCCCCGGCGTGTGCCGCCCACCCAGCATCCTCAGTCCCTGGGCCGTGCCCGCGGGCTGCCGGCAGTTCCTCCTTGGGTCGAGGTCTGGTCCCTGGGCTGTGCCCGGGAGGAGGGCCCATGAGGCCCAAGACAACTGCAGCGTAATACTGACCACCGCCCTGAGCACCCACTGTGTGGAAGAGCTGCCCACCCCCTCCCCTTCCCTCTAGAGAAAATATCATCGTCCCGTGACCGGGTAAGACAGGCATGCAGGAACTCAGCTCGAACCACACGGCTCGAGTGCTTAGTTTGAAGCCCAGCATGTGGAAGGCCAGCTGGGGGCTGCCCTTTCCAGGGGGGGCATGAAAGTGGCCACCGATCGCCCCTACCTCACAGGGGACGGTTGGGGACTCATCCTCCCCGGCACATCCTCATTTTGCCCAGTGAGGTGGGACACACCAAGGTGAGGGTCCCCAGCATGCACCAGGAAGGCCTGTCGAGGGCTGGCCCGGGATTTGGGGGCGTTTGTCGGTGAGAAGGCTTGTGGCAGGACGGGGCCAGCACGGGACGAGAGTGCCCGTCTGGGCTCAGCCTGGTCGGTTCCCTGAGACACAGACGGCGTGGAAGGCAGCCCAGGTTGCATGCCTGGTCCAGGCCTGGGTGGACTCGAGGGACGCACACTTACCAGGCACCACGGTGTATGTCCCTCAGGTGCCAGGGCTGTGGGCAGGAGGGTCACAGAGAGCGGAACAGCCCCGCCCCGCCGGGGCCAGACGGCTGGCGGCACCCTGGGGGGCCAGTCTGCCTGCCCCCCCAGGGGCACGGACACTGTCACCGGAGGGAGTCCCTGAGCCCTCTTTGGCTTCTCGCCCACTGCAGATGCTCGTGGTCCCCAGTGTCCCTGGGCCACCGGGTGTGAGGGCGGCTGCCCCGAGCCGAGCCCTGGCTCCGAGGAGGATGCCCTGGCCGCCGGCCGGCTCCCGCCTGCACCATGAGTGATGAGCGGCGGCCGCCGGGCAGCGCTGTGGGCTGGCTGGCGTGCGGAGGCCTTTCCCTGCTGGCCAACGCCTGGGGCATCCTCAGCGTCGGTGCCAAGCAGAAGAAGTGGAAGCCTCTCGAGTTCCTGCTGTGCACGCTCGCGGCCACCCACATGCTCAACGTGGCAGTGCCCATCGCCACCTACGCTGTGGTGCAGCTGCGGCGGCAGCGCCCCGGCTACGAGTGGAACGAGGGCCTCTGCAAGGTCTTCGTCTCCACCTTCTACACCCTCACCCTGGCCACCTGCTTCTCTGTCACCTCCCTGTCCTACCACCGCATGTGGATGGTTCGCTGGCCTGTCAACTACCGGTGAGCTCCCGGCACTTGATGGTCTGCCGTTCTGGGAGAGGGACACTGGTGGGCACGAACGCACGCAAAGACCACCTGCTGTGCCCGTGAGCAAGATGCCCTGGTGGTGACGACGCCCCACGGGGGGCCCCACCGGTGCCGTGCTGGGGGGTGGCAGGGGGCTGCTGCGGGCTCCAGGGGCACGCGCACGCAGGGGTGCATGGGTGCGCAGTGTCCAGCACAAAACGCTTGTTGAGGAGGACGTGCGACAATGCGCACGAGTGTCCCCTGTGCAGGGGACAAAGCCCGCCGTGCTGGTTGTGGCATGCCTGTGATGTACGGGGGACCGGGACAGTTGGGGATCCTCGACGGGGCCTGAGGAGACCCTGTGAGTAACACTGGGCCCCTCTGTCCTACCCCCACCCCGCGGCAGGCTGAGCAATGCCAAGAAGCAGGCGGTGCACACGGTCACGGGCATCTGGATGGTGTCCTTCATCCTGTCGGCCCTGCCTGCCGTCGGCTGGCACGACACGAGCGAGCGCTTCTACGCCCACGGCTGCCGCTTCATCGTGGCTGAGATCGGCCTGGGCTTCGGCGTCTGCTTCCTGCTGCTGGTGGGAGGCAGCGTGGCCATGGGCGTGGTCTGCACGGCCGTCGCCCTCTTCCAGACGCTGGCTGGGCAGGGGGGGCGCCGGGCGGACCGCCGCGCCTTCACGGTGCCCACCATCGTGGTGGAGGACGCGCAGGGCAAGCGCCGCTCCTCCATCGACGGCTCGGAGCCCGCCAAGACCTCGCTGCAGATCACGGGCCTCGTGGCCACCATCGTCTTCATCTACGACTGCCTCATGGGCTTCCCCGTGCTGGTGCGTGAGCCTGCCAGGGCTGTGGGCTCCGGGGCGGCCTGAGGCGGGCACGCGCGGGCAGCAGGTGCCCGCATCCTCACACCCCATCTGTTAAGGGCGGCCTTATCCCCCTTTTACAGGCTTGGAAACCAAGGTTCAGAGAGGTAAATGGCCGACCCAAAGTCAGGGCAGCGGTAGGGGGGCTTTAACTCACCTCAGGTGACTTCACAGCCCAGGGCCTTTCCGCCGCGTTGCAGGGGACTTTCTCCCCTCAGCGAGGCCCATGCAGTGCAGAGGGGATGGAGGTGCCCTGAGGCTTCCCCGTGGGGCGGGTCCTGGGAGGTACACGGGGAGGCGTCGGTCCTGCGTTGGGAGGCGGGGCAGGCTTTGACGCCAGGGGCGGAGGAAGGTCAAGGTGAGGGCTGGTCTGAGGAAGGCCTTGCCACCAGGGGTCCGGTGAGGCAGGGCCCCAGGCCTGGCCTGGGAATGAAGTCTGAGCCCAACAGCCAAGCCCTCCCACCCGTGGGTCTCCCGCCCAGCCCCCTGAAGGATCTGAAGCAGGACAGGGAGGGGTGCAGGGACAAGGGCCAGCCGGAGAGAGGCTGCACAGGCAGCTGGGTAGGCCTGTGTCCCTGGAGACAATGAAGGACAGGGGTTTCAACCCCCCAGGCGTGGACTGGTACCTGTCTGTGGCCTGTCAGGACCCGGGCCACACGCGGGAGGTGAGCGGCGGGCGGGCGAGCGGGGCTTCCCAGCATTACCGCCTGAGCTCCGCCTCCTGTCCCCGCTGCTCCCCATCTGTGGAAAAACTGTCTTCCAGGAAACCGGTCCCTGGTGCCAAAGAGGTCAGGGCTGGCTGCTGTGGGACAGAAGCTCAAGAAGCTGACGGGGGAGGGGGAGCTGGCAGCCTCGTAGCCAAGCATGCAGCTCCTAGCCACCTGCTGCTCTGGGGGGGGCGGGGCCCAGGGCCCCCCAGCAGGGACAGGGGCCTCTGTGCGGTGGGGCCCGGCGCCCCTGTCCCTGTGCCGAGGGAGAGGGGGAGCGCGTGTGAAGTTGCCCCAGCCTCTGTTCAGGGCAGGAATGGGAGGCATTCACGGAGCCCGCTCCGCACCACAGGCCCGGTACAGCATCTGGGATCTTGGCCAAACCGTGTGGCGTGTCCTTGGTTCACGTCACAGGTGAAGAAACTGAGCCCCAGAGACTCGGCGCCTTCCTGAGGGACACGCAGCCTGTGTGGCAGAACCAGCGTGGTGTCTGCACTGAGCTCTCTTCCTCTCTGATGTCACTCTGTGTGGGGGGATGGGGGAGGACGGAGGCACCCTGGGCGGTGACCCGGAAGCCACCTGGCTGCATGCTCTGATCCTCGGAGACTGCTGCTCTATTCTTCTCCCCTGGGGTCCCGGGCAGAGACCGGTGGGGCGGGGCCCGGAGGGCGACTGGCCGTGCAGAGTGAGGAAGGCAGAAGGGCCCCTGAGCTGGGAAGCCTGCGACCTGGTCCTCCAAGCTGGATTCCCCTCTCCCCTGAAAGGGGGCCGTGGTCTGTGCCCCGCCTCTGCCCCGGGGGTGACATGCTGCGGGGACACTGCCACCGTCCTGCGTGCTCGCGGCTGTGGCTGTCTCGGCAGCCAGCAGCTCTCGGGGCAGGGGCGGCGGCCCTCACGCTCTGGCTCTGCCCTGCCCCGGGCCCGGGCTCTGCCGCCGCAGCCAGCCCCTCCTCTGGCAGGGGGCTGTGGGACCTGCCATCCGGGCGGGGGGACTGAGTCTGGGAGGGACGCTGTGCGACGGGGCCCCGCCAGGTGCCAGGCGAGTGCTGTGCCCGCAGGTGGTGAGCTTCAGCAGCCTGCGGGCAGATGCCTCGGCACCCTGGATGGCGCTGTGTGTGCTGTGGTGCTCGGTGACCCAGGCCCTCCTGCTGCCCGTGTTCCTCTGGGCCTGCGACCGCTACCGGGCCGACCTCAGGGCTGTCTGGGAGAAGTGCGTGGCCCTGATGGCCAACGATGAGGACTCGGATGACGGTGAGGATGTCCTGAGACGGGCCCCGGGGGACAGGGGCCCCGGGCGCGGCCGCTCGAGTCACTGGCGTAACAGCTGTAAGGTGACCCCTCCCATGGCACGGAGGCAGTTCCTGTTGTCAATGGCCAGGCGCCCCCTGTATTCACCACAAATGTGCAGGAACCCCTAAGGGACCGAAGTGTCCCAGGGAGCAGCCTCCTATCCTGCCTGCTGCCCCAGGCGGCAGCTCTGGGCACCAACCCGAGGGGTTCCCACGGCTCCTGCAGACCTGGGCCCTGCCTTGCCCAGCAGTGCCAGTGTTGCCCTAAGCTGAGACCTTGCTACATACCAGGCGCTGTCAGCCCCTCGTGTGTGTTCAGTCTCCTCAAAGCTCAGGAGGTGTCTGCAGGCCACACCCCCACCGACAGGAATTGGCTCAGTGCGTGGCCTCCTCAGTCCCACAGCTAAAAGGGGGCAGAGTCCGGGTTTGAACCCAGGCCCCTGCCCCTCCTCGCTTCCACTACCCAGCCCTCTGCCCTGTACATGTCGTGGGGCAGGGGGATGGGGGGGCGGGGGGGCGGAGTCACTCCGGGGTGCCCCCAGGTTTCGGTTGCCCTAAGACTCTGCCCCACCCTGCAGATACCAGCCTGGAGGGGGGTGGCGTGCCCCCAGACCTGATGCTGGAGCGCCCCCTGGACTACAGCTACGGAGGCGACTTTGTGGCCCTGGACAGGATGGCCGGCTATGAGCTGTCCCTGGAGGGGGGCCTGCCCCAGATCTACCCGCTGGGGCCCTTGCAGGAGGACAAGATGCAGTACCTGCAGGTAAGGGCGGGGCAGGGCTCCAAGTGCGCTGGCGAGGGGCGTCATGACCTCCTCGGCGCCGCCCCGCTCTGAGCCCATCTCACGCCCGCTGCAGCCCCGGGGGCGACTTTCACGCTCCAGGTGCGGGGGCCGTGCGGGTGGGACACCCCAGTCCCTGTCCCCGTGTTCCCTTGTGTGTTCCCTGGGAGAGTGGTTCCTCTCGTGCCTGTGTTATTTCTTTGGGGTTCAGCACCCCACTCAAGGGGTCTCCTCCCCAACCACACATGACAACATTGAGTCTCGGAAAGATTGATACTCGCCCTTAATAGAACCAGGGTGCGCAGCCCCAGGCGTCATTCCTGATCCACCAGCCTTCCCGCCCCGTGTGGGGAGGCGTGGGTCCCTATTTTCCAGGAGGGCAGCCCAGGTTAACCCCGCCGGTCCTGACAGGTCCCGCCCACGCGACGCTTCTCGCACGAGGACGCGGACCTGTGGGCCGCAGTCCCATTGCCCGCCGTCCTGCCGCGCTGGGGCTCCGGAGAGGACCTGGCAGCCCTGGTGCCAGCCGCCGGGCCCGACCGGCGCCGCGACAGCCCGCTGCCCTTCGCGGGGGACGCGCCCCCGTTCCGCCCGCGCCGCCGCTCGGCCGAGAGCCTGCTGCCGCTGCGCCCCTCGGCCCGCAACTCGCCGCCCAGCAGCCCGCGCCGCCGTCCCGGGCCTGGAGCCCGCTCCGCCTCCGCCTCGCTGCTGCCGGACGCCTTCGCGCTTACCGCCTTCGAGCACGAGCCGCAGGCCCTGCGCCGCGCGCCCGCCCCGCCCGCGCTCTTCCCGGCGCGCGCCCCCGCCGCCCCCGACCTCGCCCAGCCCGGCGAGGACGAGGCGCCCCCTGGCGGTGCCGGCGCTCAGCGGAGCCCCGGGCCGCGCCCGGCCGCTCAGGCGCACGCGCGGCCCCTGCGGACAGCCCTGAGCGCGTCGTGGGGCGAGCCGGACGACCTGCGTGTGGCCGGAGGCGGCGGGGGTGGCGGCAGCACCAGCAGCTTCCTGAGCTCGCCGTCCGAGTCCTCGGGCTACGTCACACTGCACTCAGACTCGCTGGGTTCCGCGACCTAGTTGCCGCCCGCGGGACCAAAGCACCAAAGATGCCACCTGCCCCAGCCGGGCTCGGGGCAGGGCCGCGCTGAGCCCGCCAGGGGCGCTCGGACGTGTGCCAGCACCCCCGGGGCGGGGGGGGGGCGCGGCTTGTCGCCCGAGAAGCAGGCATTGCCTGGAGGGGCGACGGCCGCCCTGGACGACTGCGCTGGGCACCTCCTCTCTGGGGCAGAATGAGGCTGAGCGTGTCTACAGGCGGGCTCTGCGCGTGCACAGCCCGGAAGAGCTATGGGGCGGGGGGCTGGGGGGGCTGGGACAGGGCGGCGGCCAGACGGAACAAGGGCCTGCTCTGCCGGAAGGGACGCCACCGGACTGCGCCTGGCTTTGCGCTCAGCATTAGAACTGTCTGGCCTCGGGGTGGGGTACAAAGAGTCTTTAAGCACAGGGGTCTTCAGAGCCCAAACAAGTCCTCAGAGCAGGTCTCCCTGCTGGCCCATCCTTCCTCTGTTTCCCCATCTGTTCCGAGCAGGTGACCATGTTTAACTCTCAGGACTGAAGCAGTCTGCCGGTCCCAGTGCCCTGGCCACTGAGTGGACACTATGCCCGCCTTGACCACTATTCCCACCCTCACTGTCATTACTTCTCATTGCCTGTCCCCACCATGTTGGCCACCTCTGGACTCCAGCCATGGAGGTCGCGAGTACATGGTGGGAAGGACTGAAGCAGAGAAGTGAGCTTCCCTACGCTGGCGTTCATCTCCAGCCTCGTCCCCGACCCTACAGGCCTGGCCAGAAGGCCCTACAGGCCTGCAGCCTCCCGGGTTCTGGGTTTAGACCTGGTTTCTGGCCCGCGTGCACTCTGACCCTGTGGGCAGGGCTTTTCTTTGCTCTTCCTCCTGGCAGGCCCCTGGCAGGTCTGGGCTTTGCCATGGGCCCTGGGGAGGAGCCTGCTGGGCCCTCCGTGGGGGAAGCCCCAGGCACGGGCGAAGGAGAGGCCCAGGAACAGCTGTGAGTAGGAGGGACGGCCAGACGCAGGGGCTGTCTCCTCCATGCCAGGGCCCTGGGGCCAGCGGGGAGCCTGCCTGCACACTGCTCCCTCCTGCTCTGCCTCCTCTTCTGGGGTCCAAGCCCTTCTCCTCGCCCCCCAGTCAGGGTCCCAGCCCCCACAGAGGCCCCTGGGAGGGGAGAGGGTGCACTGCCTGGCTCCAGCTGCTTTGGAGGCTTCTGTAGTCCCAGGCCGTGGGGTAACCTTGGGGATGAGCTGGCCACGGGTGAACGAGGCACAGGACTGCAGTCCAGCCCGACCAGTATTCCTGTGCCTTCAAGGGCCGATGCGTCATGAGGTCACCAGCTAGTCACCGTTCCCCCTCAGGCTGACCCATCTGTCACCTTGGGTTTTCACTGTATTTCATATCCAATACTTGTAGGGGGACATGGTACCTTGAAGTCCCTCTATTTGTGGTTTTTACAAAATAAAGAGGAGGGAAGACCCCCAAGCAGAGAACCCTGGGGCTTGGGGCCCCCTCTCACACTCTGTGCAGCTTCCAGACCCGTTGGCTGCGTTGGTAAGCAGCTTGACCCTGGGCTTAGTGGGGAGGGAGTTCCGTCTTCATACCACCACCCAGCCCAAAGCCAGGGATCCGTTTGTAGTTTTTTTTTGACAACTAAGCAGTTCTCTTCTGTACAGAATCCAATAAAATCTTCCTATGATTTGCACCTAGCATTTCTAGTCTGGTTTCACAGTAATGCCTTTCCAGAATCTAACAGCACCCCTGGCCAGCCGCCCCCAAATGTCTCTTCCTATCGGCCCTGAATTCCTCTGCTACTGCCCCGCTCCTTTGGGTTGGGCTTGGCTTCTTCTCCCGGCAGGTGCTGCAGTCCCGCGCAGAGAGTTTCACAGGCCTGGAGCAGTGGGATGGACACCGGGACCCTAATAGCAGGTGGAGAAGCCCCTGTCCCTGTGATAGCTTCAGAGACCCCCGGCCCCTCTGAGGCTGAATCAGGAGGGCGCGAAGGGCAAGGCAGTGGGAGTCAGGGGCCACCCCGTGTTGCGCCCGGTGACCAGTCCGCTGGCCCGGGTTGGAATTTGGAGGCGGCCACCCTGGGTCTGCGGGGTGAGATCGCCACCTGGTGTCCGGAAGACGTATCTGAGCCACCACCGCCACCTGGGGCTGTGGGAAGCCGAAATCCGCAGGCTGCCCAGAAACCGCCGCAGCCGGGCCCGGCCCTGCCTGCGCTGGGAGAGCCTGCAGGATGGGGTGGGGGAGCCGGCTCTCCCTGAGGTATGACCAGTAGTATGGGCTTTGCGCGCGAGCGAGACGGGGGCAGCCCAAAACGATAAGTGTAAATTTTTTTTATTGATTTTAGAGAGAGAGTAAAACATCATTTGTTGTTCCACTGGTGCATTTTTTGATGGATTCTTGTATGTGCCCTGACCCGGACTCAGCCCCACAACCTCGGCGTATTGGGACCACACTATCTCAGCAAAAGGAGGAATGTTTCATTCAAAGCTGACATTTGTAGTTCAAAAAGATGCACCGAAGTAGGCCTCGTGGGATAACTTAGAATCTTCTTAATCTCCTTATACCCATCTCACAGGTTCGCACTGTCTTTACTCTGAATTTCAAGCTGGAGCGGGGAGGTGCCAAAATCTCTTCCTGGACCAGCGCAAGAATCCCGCCCCGTCCCCCACCCCCAGCCTCCCCCCTCCCAGGTGCCGGGCGGGCCCCCCGAAACGGGTGCCCAGCGCTCCGAGGCCTGTCGAGCGAGCGTCGTGGGCTCCCAGGCGGCCCCAGAAATCCGCGTGCGGGGGCTCTGCAGAGCCAGGCCGGGGTCTTTGGCGAGAAGGGGTAAACTCTCACGCGAGAGGGGCTCGGCTTCACTCCAGCAGCCCTCAGTCTGACGTGGCGGTGCGCGGGCCCCCCTACCCCTCGCCCCGAGAGTCGCGGGGCTCGGCGTCGGGCCGCCCGGTGCGCTCGGAGCCGGCTGCGGGGGCGGGGCAGCTCGGGGCGGGGCCTCTTAGAGCGGCGAGCCTCAGGGCGCGCGCCGGAGCGAGGACGCCGCGCCGCGTCGCGTGAGGAGGGGGTGGGGACCCGTGGAACCCAAGCGGGTCCAGGGTGGGGGTGGGCTGGGGGCCCTTCGCCCTCGGGGCGGGCCGGCGTGCTTTGTGCCGGTGGGAACGGGGCGTCCCAGGCCGGTTGAATGGGCCGGGGCGGGGCAGCGATTCTCCTCGCTGCGAGGGGTCTGCTCTGCGCCGCTGCGGCTGCGACCTTCCCACCGCGGCGCGGGGCGGGGGCGGGGGCGGGCCGCCCGCCCGGGGCCCTGGGAAAGAGGCGCAGCCCAGGACACCCCCTCCCAGCCCCTTCAGAGGTGAGAGAAGAGAGCGGGTGCAGCCTGAGTAGGTGGGGCCGGGGCGGCGGTGGATTAGGCCTGGGCGAGCAGACCCGGGGCCACTGTGTCTCCGTGTATTTCCCTGCGTGTGCGGGCACGCGGCTCCCTCTGGCCACCTTCACCCCGAGACCAGCGCGGACGTTCGAGTTCCCGGCCGTCATCACGGGTGCGCTCAAAACTGTCTCTGCGCCCGCCCAACAGATGGGGGCCCCCTTCATTCTGAGGCCACCCCTGGGCCTCACCAGGGCCGCCACAGGCGCAACCCCGACCCCGGGCTCTCGGCGCCGTGGCGGGACACCGACTGCGAGGCCGAGACGCTGGCGGACGGGCCGGGAAGGGCGGCGGGGAGGAGCCGTGGGGGTGGGGACCGCGAGCCGCGGGCGGCCGAATCGTGCGCCCAGACGGCGGGGGCGCAGGGGCCGCGCCTCGCGGGCGCCTCGGGGTCGAGGCTGGCGCTGTCCGTGGTGCTGCCGCCTGCGTCCTCGTGCGCCAGGGGGCAGCACAGGCCGCCCCGGTCCTCCTCTCCGCGCCGCTGAAGCGGGCCAACTCCCGGCAGACAGCCGCGGAAGCCTGACCGGTGCTCGGCTCCGCTGGGGACCGGCCAGAGCCCTGGGGGGAGGGGAGAGGAGAGAGGAGAGAGGGGGAGAGAAATGGAGAGTTGTAGAGGAGAGAAAGGGAGGGGAGGTGTGTGGAAGGGAAAGAGAAGGGATGGAAGGGGAGGCACCTTTAATGCTCCCCGAGGTCCAGACCTTCCACTGGGATTGCAACTTCCGCCGGGCCTTGGTCGCCTGTCCCCTCCATCCACCTGGGGCCCCCTCCTCCCCAGCTGCCCACTGCCCAGCGCTGTCTTCTCCATCCATCCCTCCTTTATCTGGCCTTACACAGGGCCCGGAACCCACACACACCCCGCCTTGGTTGGACTTGGTTCCTCCCCCCAGTCCCTTCAGGGCCCACCTCTACCTTGCAGCGAGCTCTGCAGGCTTTTCATGTACTTGACGCTCAGCTCCAGTATGTCTGCCTTCTCTAACTTGCGTTTCCGGATCTGTGGGTTTGTGGAGCGGGTTCTTAGCTGGGGAGCCCGGGTTGGAGAAGCCGAGGCTGGGGATCGTATCACCGCCCCCCGCCGCTGCCACATCCCTGTGTCTCACCTGGTGCGAATAGTGTTTCTCCAGCAACGACTTGAGTTGCTCCAGCGACACATTGATGCGTGCCCGTCGCTTCTTCTCCATGAGCGGCTTGGAGATCTGTGGACAAGAAGCTGTTAGAGGGCAGGGCCACAGCCCGCTGGCCCTCCGCCCCCGCCGGCCTGGCAGGGCCCCCACCCTGAGCCCTTTAGAACCCCAGACCTTTCGGAATCTGCCCGCAGGGCCGCTGGAGCTGCCCCGGGTCTCAGGCTCGGTGCCCATGTTTCGAGTCTGCACCCTCAGGAGGCAGCACGGCCTTTATAGGGGCCCCTCGTTTACATGTCAATGAGGTGATCCTGGGCTCCAGGAATTCTGAAGAGGAGGGGACCAGAGGGGACACACCGGTAAATTCCCCTCCTCCCTCTGCCCGATGCCCTCCCAGAGCCCAGGACCTCTCCTCCCTCCTTCCCTCCTGAGCGTGTGACCCCTTTTACCGTTTCTCAACTTTTCCTTTATCCCTCTCACCCCCATGGCTTCCCAAGTCTGGGGGCCCCTCCTAGGCCTATGCCTTCCGTGCCTGTCCCATCCCAGTGTCCCTAGCTTCTGGGCCTCACCACCAGGCCCACGTGCCTAGCCCTTGCTGCTCTCATCTCTAGAGGTTCTCCGGGGTGCCCGCTGGGGATTCCAGCTCCGAGCCCTGCTAATGACCATGACGGAGCGCCGGGCCTCGGCCGGCCTGATGAAGACGCAGAGGCCGCGAGCACCCGCCGGCAAAGCCTTTCTGCGGGCTTCACGCTCCGGCCGTGCTGGCGACACCGCATTAGGAGCCCTAATGTCGGGACAATGCAGCAATTTTCTGCCTGTGGTTCCTCAAAGCCAGGCGCAGGCCGGGCCCACGGGGCCACACAGCGACACGTGTCCCATTAAAGCGTGCAGCCCGCCCGCAGGGCCCCGGCCAGCCTCCTCCTTGCTGGTGCCCGGGGACTTGGGGCGCTCCTGCCAGGATGCAGCCTGGGCTCAGGTGACCTCTGACCCTGTTAGGAGCCAAACTCTTCCGTGGGGGCAGGGGGGCCAGCTGCCAGCAGCCTTGGCCCAGGAGAGCCGAGTCGGCCCTCGCCACCTCCAGTCCTGGGTTTCCAGACAGGCCAGGCTGGGCCGCTCAGGCTCTGAGAACGCCTTCCCTTCCAGGGAAGCCTGGGGGGGTTATTCCCTAAGGCCTTCTCTGGGTCCTGGCACAGGGGAGCAGGGGGCAGGGAAGATCACCCATCATCTGGGAGAGCGTCATTCAGAGCTTTTGGAGGCCTGAGACCACAATCTCTTTTCGTTATTCTGGTTGTAGCTGGAGACACAGGGAGCTCAGGGGTGGAGGCACCTGCTGCGCCCGTGGCTAGGCCCCACGGAGGGCTCCCGTGTGGTCCCTGGTTTGGCCCGAGAAGCGGGACTCCGGTAGCTGGGATTGACAGGAAGGCTGACGTGCAGGGGAGACCCTGGGATCAGACCTTCACATCTCCCTTTACTGTGACTCTCAGTTTCCACGTTTGTAAAGTGGGGTCCCGAACAATGCGGGTCCCTGCAGCTGCTTTCAAGGACTATGGGGAAGTTGTTCCGACGCAAAAGTCCCGCAGTTGAGCCCTGCGGCAGAGAAAGGAACCAATTGGCCTTCGCAGGGCCTCAGCGTGAGGGGGAGGGGAAGTTGCTAGGTTCTGGGTGGGCCTTCCCGCTCCTTCCAGCTGGGGCGTCTCATCCCTCGCCGCCCTCGCCCGCGATATTGAAATGTTCTGCCCGGGCAGCGCCGTTCCCCAGCTCCAAGCAGCGTGGAGAATGGCGCCCCGCCTTCCTTTCTGGCTAAGGTTGCGGCGACTGCGGCTCCAGGGTGCTCTTAGGCCGCGGGCCCTGTGCCCGCGGGCCGGGCCCGGGACGCGCGGGGGCCGAGGCCCGATCGAGGGCGCTGGCACGCGCCAAGCAGCTTTGAAGCTCCGGGGCTGGCAGGGCCCGAGCGGCCTCGGCGCACTCTCTCTGGCTCGGGGCGGTGGCGGCGCGGTACAAAGGCGCCAAAGGCGCCGCGGGGCGGGCTCGCAGCGCAGCCCGGCACAAAGGGGGCAGCCGAGTGTTAAGGGCATTGTGCCGGCCCCACAAAGCCGCGCCCGCACCCGCCCCCTGGGGCCAAACTCGGGGCGCCCCGCCGCGCGCTGGCTTCCAGCTGCAGCACATCTGCACCGAAGTTGGGCGCGCGCCTGGCTCAGGCGGTGCCCCGCCCCCCGCCTCCGCTCTCGAGCCGCGCGGGCAGCGGGGCAATTTGTCCACTAATTACGATCCCGCCCCATAAACCGCCGCCCGCGCCTTTCAGCTCCGGCGCATTAGCAAGCGAATGGCCCTCGGCGCGGCGTCCGCCCCCTCGGCAGAGTTAGGGCCACCATAAAGGGGCCCGCGGGTCGCTCCCGCCCGCACCCCGGCGCCCTCAGGTCCGCGGGCCACCACTCCTTTCAAGCCAGTGCCCAGGGAACCCGGCGCGCAGGGTGTGGCAGCTCACGTGGGTGGCGTAGTGTTTCTTAAGCAGTGGAAAATTGACCGCAAAGTGCTCTAATTTGCAATGTTCTGCTTTGGCTGTGGGAGGCGAGGCCGGCGGGGCGGCTTTCTCCGCCGTCGAGCTCCGCCTCCGCCCTCTTCTGGAGCCTCCGCCGCCCCCACCCCCACCCGCCGACCGCCCGCTGCGACTCTCCAGCCGTCGGCGCGCCCTCTCGCCGCGGCCTCCCCGTCGAGGCTGATTCCCTCGCCGCATTTTCCGAGCTTCTCCTCTCCTAGAGCGCCCCGCGCCCCCCGTCACCAATCTCTCTTTAAGCCGGCTGAGGGTCGCGCCGAGCTTGCGGCTGAAAGGGGTCCCACCCTCTCTTTTCCCGAGCTCGAAGACAGTTCCCCCCACCCCATCCCTACATGACCTCAATTCAGGCTCCTCCTGGGCAGCCGCTTCCCCCACTAAATTAAAGGCGAAGTCATTGGAGAATATAATAGAGAAGTCTCCACCGAGATCCTTCGAGGAGCCCCAGGCTGGGGACCCAGTTTTGCCCCCCTCTCCCACGCTGTTGGCCAGTCCTGCGTCTGGGCATCGTACGCCCACTCCTGCAGGCCAGGCCCCCAGGGCGCGCAGGGGCGGGGGAGGCGCTGTCCGAAGTGGGAGTACGGCCGCGGGTTCGCCGCGCGTCCTCTCTGGCATCACTCAGGACGAAGGGCTCCGCAGCTGCTGGGAAGGCCGTGGACCAACTCAGAGGCCGCGCTTACGCAAGCTGAGATGTAGGCCGCCGACTCCCGTTCCATCTTTAGGAGCTGGGGTCCCCAGGGCGCTTGGAAAGGAGCACAAACCAAGGCAGAGCGCTGGGGAGACGAGGCCGCCCTTCCTTGCTCATTCGGGGACAAACTCCTTCTGTAACTCCGGAGGGCTCTGGGGGCTTTGCGGGGCTGCTCGGAGCCCTCCGCTTCCTCACGCTCAGGAATTTAAAGCGGAGAGGAGCCCGTGTCTTTGCCCTCCCTTCTCCACTTTGGCTTTCTTGACTTTGGCAAAAACAAACAAACAAACAAACAGTAGGAATCGAATCAGGTCCGGAAGGAAGGTGGGGAGGGCGTGTGCAGCCCGCACGACATTCCACCCCCCCATCCCAGGGAAGCACCTTCCTCCCCGCAGCCCCAGGCCTTCGCCGCGATGCTCCCTGGTGAGCGCTGCGAAGGCCACTGCGGGCGCGCTGACGGGTGGGAGAGACTCACCGTCCCCCTCCGCAGATGCATTTCAAAGTGGAATGGAGTGATTGCTCCATGTAATTAACTATTGGGACATAGCAAAAGCCCTGGAATGACTCAGCCAATTGTCTCCAGATGGGGTTGGAGAGGCTGCGATTGTTTAACTCTCTTTAGCCGTGTGGGGACTCCGAATAGCTCAACAGCCAAGGGTCCTCCAGGGGACAAAGGCTGGGACTGCGGTGAGTGCATCAACACTGAACCGGGCTGGCCCAGCTCCGGGAGAGTGAATTCAGAGAAACCCCCATTGTCCCGGCCCTTTGTGTTTCCCCCCAGCTGGCTCTAATCTTTAAATATTTACCCGGCCGCTTTGTGCGCATGTGACTTATGCACTTTGGGCTGCTGTGCTCATAAATTACGCGTCATTTACCCATTTCCAGACTAGAGAGGGGGCTTCAATGGCTGGAGCCCAGAATGGCCAGGGGAGGGCAAAGGAAACTTTGGAAGGACCAGGGTTCCCTCCCGGGAAGAGCTGCGGCCACACTGGACGGCCTCACCCCCACCACCACGTGGGAACTGGACCAGGCCTGTGAGTGACAAAGGCCCAGTAGGCCGCTCTTCACAGCAACTTTCTGGGGACCCACCAGCAGGGAGGAGGGAGAGGCCCAGTTTCTAGACTTTTTCCTCCTTGGTGCCAAGCTTGGGGAGGAGCAAGCTTTTCATCCTGGGAAGCCCAGGTGGGTGAAGGTGCTTGGCAAACGCCCGTCCTTGCACCTGCCTCCCGCTTGCTGTGCCTTCCCTCCCCCACTTCCATTCTTTCTTGTTCAATAAGACAATCCATTGAAGGAAAGGAAGCCTACTTTCATCTCAGCCTGCAGTTTAACTTGGAAAAGTCAAGGTGGCTTTTAGGACTCTTCAAACGGGAGGGATCCTGACTTGCCCAAGGGTAGAGAGCCAGCCACCTCCGTTTGTGGGCAGATGGCAGGATGAGGGGGCGGGGGTGCGGGGGAGAGCGCTGCAGAGGGACCTTCCTGCATGAGAAAGGGCTCCCTTTGTGCTGGCCCCACAGCTCCTAGAACAAAACACATTCAAATGCTTATTTACAAAAAAAGGCAAGTGAGGCATCCCAGGGCTGAGCAGTTTTCCTTTATTTTCTTATATTTTGTAGACTTGTTTTTCCCTTAGCCTGGTGGCAGGGGGTGGGGAGTGGGAGTATCAAACTGGAATAACGCTGGAGAGCTGGGTGAGTGGGTTGGTTTGATCCCACTGCTTTCCTCTGGTGGGAAAGAAGGTCTCTGTGTGTGTTCCTGCCTCACCTCTGTGCTGCTGTTTCTCCAAGCCCCTCGCGTTAGTTACTTTGTTTCTCTGGGTCTGTGCCAGTGTGTGAATCTTGCCTATCGCCTCCATCACTGGCCTGTGAGCCCTGAGCCTTGATAGATCCAGCAACTCCAGTGACTTCTAAAAATTCCCCTTCCCTCTGGTCTGGCCATGTCTGGAGTGGACAGCTTCCCCTTCCTGCCTTCTTTAAGATGGGGTTGGTAGGGTCGAACAGGGGTGTCCAACCTTTTGGCATCTCTGGGCCACACTGGAGAAAAAGTTGTCTTGGGCCACACATTAAATACACAAACGCTAATGAAAACTGATGTGCAAAAACAAACAAACAAAAAAAAGTTTTAAGTAAATTTACGATTTTGTGTTGGGCCACATTCATAGCCATCCTGGGCCACAGGTGGGACACCCCTGGAAGGCAAAGTGATGGGCAGCGTAGAGAGGAGGCTCTCCAGTCTGGATTACATTTCTCTGTGTCCCCAGAGTGAAGGTGGAGGTTCCTGGGAGCAACTGCCTACCCCAGGGCCAGGCTTGCTCCAGGAGTGTAGGAGCAACGGGCGCCCTCTAGTGGCCCCGAGGCTTCCTGACGAGGAGGGAGAGATCCTGCGTCTGTGGGGATGACCAGGAGAAAGAGGGACAGAGGCCGGAATTCAGCACAATGCCCAGGCCTCCTTCCCCCGTGGCGCTGCAACTGGCCCACTATGGATATAAAACGTTAAATCAGTTCCGACCACCCGAGGTCAGCACATGCCTTGGGAGCACCATTTAAACGTGGTACTGGGCTTTACAGAACGTTGTCCACACCGGATGGTGAAATCAAGATCCCCATTTTACAGAAACTGGGGCGCATAGGGTGGATCTGCCCGCGGTCACAAAGCTGGATGCAGCAGCGCAGGGGCGGGGACTCCAGCCCAGGCTCCACAGCCTTCCCACAGCCCAGCTGCCCAAGGGCCAGGCGTCCTGCCAGGTCCTGCGGGGACAGCGGGGAGTGGGGCGGCCCAGGGCTCAGAGGCGGCCCGCCTGGCCTCCGTGCGGCCTGGCCCACTACTCTGGGCTCCAGCCTCCCGTGGGGCCTGTCCCCAATCCTGCTCGCCCGTGCTTCCTGCCGCCTCCATGGCTGCCAGCGCATGCCGCCCTCCCTCCCCTCCTCCCCTGGGGCGCCCTTGCTCTCATTTCCAGCGGCAGGCGGCAGAGGCCGGAGGCCTAGCTGCAGCGTCTCCTCCGAGCAGAACTTGAACCCTGCGGCCCTCAAATCCAAGGCCCGTTCCTGTGGTTCCTCCTCCATCCTTGATCGGCTCCTGCCCCTCTCCCACCCCGCCACAGCTGTTGCTGGCTATTTGTTGACTTGCCTTTCTCCCCCACCGTTGCTCTGTAAACTCCCTATGTGGGGCATTATTAATTAGCCCTTTAAAAAAGTAAAGGACAATTTCTGATTATAAAGGTAGTAGAATTTGATCGTGGGCAATATGGAAAACACAAACACATACAAAGAAGAAAATAAAAGTCGCCTAGAGAGATACCACCTGGTTTCTATTTCAGGCATTTCCCCAGGCTCACACCAGCGATCTTGTTTTTCCCAAGTGAAGTCAGATCACACCGTCAAGTTCTGAGTTCTGCCTTTTAAAAACGTGACACGTCCTGAGTTGTTCCACCATCCGCCAAGTGGGCAGTCACCCTGCTGCGTGGGTGCCCAGCGCTTGTGTCCCAAGAGCAGGGTCCCTGTGCCCGAGGCGTGCAGCGTGGGCTCCAGCGAGTGCTCGTGGACCCTGCCGGGGGCGGGCGGGGCATCTCCGTGCTTGGTCCCTGCTTTCAGACCCCTAAAGGTGGATGATGGGATCGGCCCGGCTCGCGGCTGCGCGCCGAAGGGTGCGCATTTTGGAGAGGAATGCGCGGGGCCAGCCGAGTGTTGGGTCGCTTCCTATTTCACGCGATTTCTTTGGTCAAGGGACGTTCTGGAGGTTTGGACTTCCCCCGGGACCCAGGAGACCTGTGGCCCCACCCCTCCGGCCGCGGCTGCACCGTGTCAGGACGTCCCCGGGGGGCGGGGCAGGGAGGTGGGGCGGGGCGACCCGGGGAGGGGCGGGACCACGGCGCGGAGCGCTCTTTCCAGATTCCAGCCCCAGCCCTGCGGCGCGGCAGTATCGCGAGAGCTCTGGGGCGGCGCGCGGGTCCAGCAGCTCCTTCCCTGCCGGCGTCGGCAGTGCAGTGCGCAGGCGCGGCGGACGGGCGGGTTTCCCTGGGCTACAGGCGGCGCCGTCGCCGCTGGTCCGCCGCCCTGCGCCATGGCGGGCTGCGCGGCGCGGGCTCCGCCGGGCTCCGAGGCGCGTCTCAGCCTCGCCACCTTCCTGCTGGGCGCCTCCGTGCTCGCGCTGCCGCTGCTCACGCGCGCCGGCCTGCAGGGCCGCACCGGGCTGGCGCTCTACGTGGCCGGGCTCAACGCGCTGCTGCTGCTGCTCTACCGACCGCCGCGCTACCAGGTACGGGCCGGGGTCAGGCGAGGGCCGGGCGCGGCGCGCGGACACCCTTCCCGGGACCCGGGTCGGGGTCGGCCGGGGTGGGGGCTCCTTCCCCCGGCGTGTTCTGTGGCCGCGATTCAGGTGGCAGGAGAGACCGCGCCTCGCCCGGCTCGGGGGCGTGGGGCCCTCCACCCGGCGGAGCGGGTGCAGAATTGCAGTTGGTGCGGTTCATCAGCGGCGGAAGATGCGCGTGGGGCGAGGAGTGAGCGAGCCCACGAGTTCTTTTATGTAATTGAAGGTGTGGAGACCGACTTGCTGTCAAGTCTGAGGTCAAAGGTCCCGCAGTTACGCGGAAGGGGCCGGGCGCAAGAGTCCCGGGTGCCCAGACCAGGTTCGCTGCGGGGACTCGGGAGAATCTTGCCAATGCGTTAGGTTCACACAGCTCACCCGCAGCCCTGGGTAATAACGGTAGCTAAAAACTTCTGTAGCATTTGCTCTTACATGCTTTACATGGATAACTCTCAAGGCCACGCTAAAAGGTAGGTACCATCCGCATTGTGTAGATGGGGAAAGCGAGGTGCAGAGGGTTTTAAGTAACTTGCCCAAGGCCACGCAGGCAAAGTGGTGGGCATGGGATGTCCATCCAGGCTCTAGGTGCTTGCCAGTGGCCTGCTTCTCCCAAGAAGTAGGTATCTGTGCTCAAGAGCAGCAGGTGACAACTTCTTTTGGGCCTCTTTCAGATAGCCATTCGGGCTTGCTTTCTTGGCTTCGTGTTCGGCTGCGGCATGCTGCTTAGTTTTAGCCAGTCTTCTTGGAATCACTTTGGCTGGTAAGAAGGGCTTGGGGAACCCCCCGGGTGGGGTGAGGGTAGGGTGGGCAGATCAGAGGGTGAGCGGTGGCATTTCCTCGTTTCTGTGTCTCACCTCTGGCTGGCTGAAGGCTGCTTTGGGTTCGGGGGATGTGCGTCACCTGCCTCCCACCTAGATTCCCATGGCCTGGGCCCTGAGAACTCGTGCCCATTGGTCGCTTCTGTTGCTGGCAGAGGCAAGTCGCAGGCGCCCTCCCCACAGGTGCCCGCAGCTGCTGCCTCCGTGACAGCCTCGGTGACCGGAGGGGGCAAGGCGCTGGCTCGTTGTCACAGGCCTCTCAGTCTCTACCTTCCACTAGGGCACGTATAGTGCATCCCCCACGGCCGGCATAGGGTTTTTCCCGACACTCAGATTTCAGGCCCTTGAGCCATCTAGTCCCAGACCTGGGTGGGAATGAGTGGCTTCAAGGGTAAAGCTTTAGCTCCTGTAGAGAACAGGAGATAACTGAGCTGTCTAATTCTTTGTTGCCGGAACTATTTCAGTTTTTTAAATTTTTGTGTTCGACTGACGTTACTACTTTATTTTCAAGTTTCCCACTTTCATGTTGGACTGTGTGTAGTGTCATTTTAGAGAGGCTGGAGGGCCCATAATGCTTTCGTAACCTACGTTTGCTTGTTTTTTGCCTGTGGTGTTCAAAAGTGTAGTCCTTTTAAAACCTCACTTCCTGCAAGCCTGAGGGAGTAACGCAGGTGCCTGAGGTCCGTCCTCGCGGTGAAAGGACCTCGTGGAACTCAGGGACAGTTTCACACCCAAATCTGTTCTTTTACTATGGCCGGTCCTTTACCCTAACTTACCCCTCTCTCTAATTTCTTACCCCAAAAGTTCAAATTTAACCTCTTTTTCCTTTTGTTTCAAATAGGTATATGTGCTCACTGTCATTGTTCCACTATTCTGAATACTTAGTCACAGCCGTCAATAATCCCAAAAGCCTGTCCTTGGATTCCTTTCTCCTCAATCACAGTCTGGAGTACACCGTAGCTGCTCTTTCTTCTTGGATCGAGTTCACACTTGAAAATATCTTCTGGCCAGGTCAGTGTGCCCTGCTCTCCCCTCCAGGGGAGAAGGGGGTGGCTTCCACAAAGGCTTGGTGACAGTGACGTGGGCTTGCCCATCAGGCTTAATCTCCTGGAGGGATTTCCCCAGATCTCTGTCCTCCCTAAGCTCTTGACGGAGGATGGGATTGTGAATTCTGCTGCTGGAGTTCGAACCAAGGACATGTTGACCTTTTTGCTTTATGCCTTGCATAACATAGTGCATCCAGGGATAGGAAGGCCCTACCTTTGGTAACTGTAATCCTGACTTTATGGTCTGAGATTTGAATCTAGCCCTTTCAAGGGACTTGAGAAATTTCATATGGCGTTTTACTAGCAGAAGCCTCTGCACCGGGCACCTCCTCTCAGACCGCACTGCCCGCGGCAAATCAAGTCAAACGGATGTAGTTCCCAGCATTCAGGGAGTGGCCAAGGCGGAAACACTGGGTCCTCCTCTGTTTCACTCAGCTGTCCTCGTCCCCCAGGGAAGGACAGAGCCTGTGGCAGCCCAGCATGGACAGAGAGCCCGTCAGGCTCTGCCACGGTGCTCTGATGGGGTTGTTGACACTTGAAACAAATGAACGGCACAACTGAGGAGGATGTGTTTTGTTTATGCTTAAACTTTAATGTGATGACAAATGCTGGTTGCCCACTAGCGTGTTTTCCACCGTTCCTGTCTTTGGAAAATAGAGTCGTTGTAAGCATCCAGAGGGGGGAGCTCAGCAGTCCGGTGCCTCCACTTCCCCCTGCCCCCTGTCCCCTGCAGAACTGAAGCAGATCACCTGGCTGAGTGCCACGGGCCTGCTGATGGTCATCTTTGGAGAATGTCTGCGGAAGGCGGCGATGTTCACAGCGGGCTCCAACTTCAACCACGTGGTGCAGAACGAAAAATCAGAAACCCATACTCTGGTGACAAGCGGCGTGTACGCCTGGTTCCGGCACCCTTCTTACGTGGGGTGGTTTTACTGGAGCATCGGGACCCAGGTATGGTATCGGACATGACACCGGCCGCCTTTACGTTTCCCTAAAGTATTTCTTCAGTTGACACGTACTTCACACACCATAAAATTCATCATCTCAAAGTGTGCCACTCAGCAGGTTTCAGTGTGTTCACAGGGTCCTAGGGCCTCTTTAAAGAGGCACATCTGCCCCCTGTCACAGCTCACGTGGTGACCAAAACAAAGTCAAAAGAACCGACTTAGTCCTTAACATTTTTTACCTTGTGCTTGAAATATGGGCATCCTCAATTTGTGAGCTTTTGGCGCGTCTAGGTGCTGCTGCCCCATCTGCGGTGCCCCTTTCTCTGCCTCTTTCACTTGGCTCCACAGCGCTCCAGTGGGCTGAGGGCAGGGAAGGGCCTGCACTCATCTTCATTAGAAGCTGCTGGCCCTGGCTGGGGTGGCTCAGTGGACTGAGTGCCGACCTGCAAACCAAAGGGTCGCCGGTTCGATCCCCAGTCAGGCCACCTGCCTGGGCTGCGGACCAGGTCCCCAGGAGGGGGTGTGTGAGAGGCAGCCACACATGGATGTTTCTCTCCCTTTCTCCTTCCCTTCCTCTCTCTCTAAAAATAAGTAAATCTTTAAAAAAAGAAACAAGAAACTGCATTGATGAGGCTGAGGTCACGTATCAGGTTTAACACGACCTGCGGACGTTTGTCCTGTCTCAGGCTGCAGAGTGAGCTTTGTCTCTTGACAGTTGTCTCCTGAATCCGTTCTCTTGGTCCGGGGGGGACTTGGCCAGAGAACTTGGACGGCGCTTAGGGAACTGACTGCCTCGGCGGCGGGGAAGACCTGGCGCGGGCCCTGGCCATCCGACGCGGCTCGCGGTCCCGGGGACTCGGGGGGGCCCCCAGCAGTTACCGCAGAGCCTTACTTACTTATTTACTTATTCCTTTATTAATTTAAATCCTTACCTGAGGACGTGCCTTCATTGATCTTGGAGAGAGAGAGGAAGGGGGGAGAGAGAGAAACAGTGGTGTGAGAGAGAAGCATCAGTCAGCTGCCTCCTGGACGCGCCCCGATCAGGGATCAAAACTGCAACCCAGGCACGCGCCCTGACGGGGGGATTGAACCCGCAGCCTTCTAGTGCACGGGACGACGCTCCGACCCATGGAGCTGTCCAGCCAGGGCGGAGCATTTGTTTCAAAACCTGCATTTCTGACACTTAGGACTCTCGCATTACCAGTCATATTCCCTGGGAAGAAATAGTTACAGGTGAAACATGGCATTGCCATAAATGCTAGCGATACATCTAAGGAGTAAAGAGTTTTAATACTAACGGATTGTACGTCTTCTGACACCATGACCCAGCACAGACGTACGTGTAAAAACGGAGCACATCTTTCCCAGGGCGGTGTTCGCCCTTCCTGCGTGCAGAGCATTCTGTTTTGTGCCTCATTGTTATCTGATGCTGTTTATGATGCACGGACTGATTTCATAGCTCAGTAACAGCACGTGGCCTGCGATGTGGAGACCCCACGCTCGGCCACGCCGAGAGGCTCCGCGTGTCTGCGGCCCTGAGGCACAGGCCCTGGGGCGCTTGCCAGGCCAGTCCTGCCTTTGATGCTGACTGGTTGGCCTCCTGTCCTCACGAGTCACGTGGGACTGCAGCAGCAGCGCCTCGGGCTTGCTCTGGGGTCGGATGGCTCGCGGGTTGTGAAGGGCTGTGCGTGTGCTGGGAACGGAAGGCAGCGCTTGGTGGGTGAACAGTGATGAGAATAAGAAGCTGAAGCTGACTGCCCGGTTCTCTTGGTGGAAGTCGCCCGCTCGGGGAGGACACGCCCAGTGGTGGGTCAGTCCAAGTGGCCGCGGGAGGGTGACCTGGTTTCCCAGCAGCGCGGGAAACTCCCGAGGGCTGGATGTGCTGTTGGCCTGGAAGGACTCTTTGGCGGTGGATCAGTGGGCAAGACATTCTCAAAAGTGGAAAAACCGCCATCCAGGTGGGAGGCAGTCCAGGTGGGTTGGCCGGGGGAGCTCCCGCCAGGCCGAGGAGGTGGGTTAGGCCTCAGCTTTCGGAGCAGGGGAGTGATTGGATGGGAGAAGTGATTTCCGAAGCCCAGCGAGGTGGCAGTGTTTCGGGGACCCAGGCAGGCTGTGGGGCTGGGGCTGGGACGGGAGGCGAGGGGCTGGGAGCCAGGCTGGAAGGAGGGAGGCAGGGCCCGGCGGCTGAATGGGTGCTCGCTTGTGGGGCTGGACGGGGGCTGCCCTCACCCCGACCTGGGGCCTGAATCCGAGAGGCTGGCCTTTGCGCGTCCGAGGTGCCCGTGGGTAAGAGGGACAACAGACAGCGTGTGAAGAAGAGCCGTGGTGGGAGCTCGGTTCTACCGGGAAAGAAACGGTGCGATTGCACTTGATGGCTTGCCGGCTGCGGCCCTCGGTGACCCAAATTGAGTTTCGTGTTTTGAGAGCCTCTCGGGCCCTTGGCAGGAAGGAAGTCCCCTGTGAGTGGTGGCAGAAGCGGGCGCCGCTGAAGGGCACAGTGTCGGCGCCTCTAAGCCTGCTCAACCTCGTGTTCCCTGTCAGGTGATGCTGTGCAACCCAATCTGTGGCGTCGGCTACGCTCTGACTGTGTGGCGCTTCTTCCGCGATCGCACAGAGGAGGAGGAAATCTCACTCATCCACTTTTTCGGCGAGGAGTACCTGGAGTACAAGAAGCGGGTGCCCACAGGCCTGCCTTTTATAAAAGGGGTCAAGGTGGAACTATGACACGCTGGGGGCTGCGGGGCCCCCCGCCCCGTGCAGCCCGGGACAAGGTGGCCTCTGGTCGGCCTCGCTGCAGAATGAATTTTCCTAATCATTTTCTATGTCGCCACTTACTCTTCTGGAATATCACTCGAGACCCAATGGTCAGGAGGCCTTAGGACCAAAGGACCGCCCCTCCCCCGCAGCTTCCTGGAGCGATCTGTTCTCGGGGTGCATCAAGACAGGGTGCGGATGAAAGATGGACAAGGAGCAAGTAACAGCAATATTCAGCAGCGCCGCCCGGAGTGCGCCGGGGCGAGCGCAGGCCACCTGCTGTCCCTCGAGGCCACCTTGCGTTTATGCCGTAGTCAAGACCCCTCGGGAGAGGCGGACTCGTTCCTCCGAACGAGGCTGAGGCTCCTCCAGCAGGAAGGGGTACGTGGGCACCAGTGCTTTTTAGAGTTAGAAATACCCTGAAAACGTTTCCTTAACCGAAAAACAGCACAGCTTCGACCTCCTTATTTCTGTCCTTAGTGCACGAGCATCTATACAGTTTCAGAGACACTTCCTTACCTTCCTTCTAAGGCACTTTGCTCTTCATATATTTAATCATATTTACAGATCTATGTTTTATAGGTAGCAGTATAAGTTCAAAGGGGACTCTGTTGATAGCCCCACGTTGTATTTGGCAGAAAGGAAGCGTCGATGTGCAGCCAGTGTGGCTGAGCGGCGTTGTGGTGCCAGGGAGCCCAGGCCCTGTGGTTTCTGGGCTCCTGGCTCCCGCCCTTCTCCCAGGCGGGGGCTGTTACCAGTGATGGGCGTGTCCAAGACGTATCCTTTGTCCTTTATCCAAGAAATGCTTGCTGGACACCTGCTCTGTGCAAGGCGTTGTTAAATGCTGAGAAGTACTGCTCTTCATGTATTTGGGATTTTATTCTTATTTTACCGTAGCGTATAGTTTTGTGTTTTGATTTAAATCTATTAACTATTGATTTCTATGTTCTGTTCTCAAAATTTCATCGTCCATTTCAAACTGTCTTCCAGAGAGGTCTGAGAGCACACACAGCTACAAAATTCAAGTCGACTCATGAAAGTCTTAAATAGAGCAACTAATCCCAACTGAGATTTAGTCATATTTTTGTTTTTCGAGTTCAGGGAGAGTGCTTGGCTTTCTGAGTCAAACATATAAACTTTGAAGACCCTGGTTTAATTCCGGACTGGACAGGAACTTGGTCTCAGTGTGAGATCCTTCCGTGCAGTTCTCTGGTGGCGCCAGGACGCGGGGACGTGAAGGCGCGGAGCCCCGGCTGGAGCACAGCCCTACCGCCACGCCACGCCACGCCACGCCACATGGCTTCCAAGGAGCCACCTGCCTTTCTGTGCCTAGACCTCCCCGTCCATAAAAGGGGGTCAATACCACCTACCTCACAGGGGTGTTGTGAAGACTTAGAAGAACAACGTCAAACATTTTTGATACTTAGGTGCGAGATAACATGAATGGAATCCGTACTGTGTATGAGCTACACAGAAATGGACATTTGGTTAACTGTGCCAGACGCCGGACATGTGTGTTCAAAAGAGCATTTTACCAATTGAAAATGGTATTAATTTCTAGAATTCATGGCCTAATTAACTTTTTTGTTATTATGTATACCAAAGAGTGTGCGGGTCCGTTGCTTGCTGGTGGGACACTTGCTGGTGTGAGGACCAGAGAGGGCTGATCCATGGCCCCCGGAGGGTCATGTAGTCAGACTGGCCAGGCCACCGCTGGAGCCCTGGGCTGCAGGTTCCCCCCGCAGGAACCCCCCCCCCACCCCGCCGCACCCCCCACTCCACCCCGCGGGACGTCGGCATGCCCTGCCCGACTCTGCGAGCTCAAGTTGGATTAGCTCTCAACTTGTTCCCTGGACCACACTTAGCAAAGCAAACACCACTTAGTAGGACTACAGAAAGGAGGGGGGTTGGCAGCCACCACTGCCCTCTGAGGGGAATGTCTCCTGGCACCGGCGGGTGTGGACCCAGCTTTCATGACTTCGGGGGCCATCAGTTTGTGCTTTTAGTAGCTGGAGAGCAGCTGATGACGGCCTGTGGCCTTGCAGGGGGGAGCGTGAGGTGTCGGGTTTGCGCACCTATTCTTCCTCCGCCCGCAGGAGTTCAGAAAGCCCACCTCCCTGCCCCCAGGAGCTCGGCAGGCAGGCCCTGCTGTGTGGGTGCTGCCCCCACTGCCTGGGGCTCGCCACGCCCTTCAGCTTTCGGGAGCAGGCGTGCAGGTGGGGTTCCCGGGCGCGTTCCCGCCCTCCCCGCGGTCCTGGGGCAGGAGTCAGCAGTTCCTGGGGGATGAAAGATGAACTACTTAGGGACAGGGCTTGGCAGGTGATTGGCTTTCATCTGGTCCTGAGACTTCAGATTATTTTTAACCGCATAAATTTAGCAGTGATGGTGTGCAGGGCAGAGAATCAGGTTAATGAGGTACCGGCTTTCTGGGTGTTCCCCAGAGCACTTTGGGCAAAGGCCGCATCTCCAGTCCCTGCAAATTAAAAAACTGTCAGGAGATTTCTTTTTCCATTGCAGGTTTTAAAGCGCAGATTCTTAAGGGGAACTAGGCACCGCACAGAACAAAGTTACTTTGAAGCTGCGTAGAGGACACGTTTTTCAGGGATTTGCAAGCTGGGCTGAGAACGGCAGTTACAGCAAAGGGTGGGGGGCGAGCCCACAGCCCCTTGGTGTGCGCTGCCTCTGGAGCCAAAAAGTAAACTTGATCGATCCCTCCGCCCATCTAACACCCTGGGCACCGGCGCGATGGGGGAAATGCCCCTGACCTGACGCGCCAGTCAGCAGGCGAGGCTCCACACAGTCTCAGCCGCAGCTCGCTCTGGTGGCAGCCCCTTCGTGACAGGCACAGTAGCCCAGTGTCCCCTCTCTGCACTTTCCTACTGCCTTAGACAGCTGCCACTCCCACCGTTTTTGCTTCTGTAGGCGACCTCGGCACGGCCCGCGTGGTGGGGGCTTGCTCTCTGCCCTGCTGTGCGAGCCTGCCGCCCGCCTGCCCGGCAGACTGGCCATCAGACCAGCCATCGGGGGCCCTTGCTCTCGGGAAGCCGTGCGTAGCGAGGAGAGGAACCTAATGGAGTAATTCTACTCTTCTTTTTACATGCAGAAATGTTTATTCAAATATTTTAGATTGGGTTTTCTTTCACAGATACTGATATTCTTTCCAAACCTGAAATAAAACTATACTTGATTTCACTACGGGCAGTCGTGGTGTGATTGTGTGGGGCGCGGGAGCACTCGGGTCCCGCCCCTTCCGGCTGAGGAGCCTCCGGAACCTACAGCGCAAACCACGTGCATTTGGCCTCCCCGTCAGTCCTGAAGGGCTGCCCCGAAGCAGTTTGTGATGCCAGCAGCCCCCGCCCCGTAGGCCCCGTGGACGTCTGTGACGATTTGGCGGGCGGACGTCGGTGGCCTGGAGTGGCAGGCCCCGGATGTCGGGCGTTCACACGTGGTATCTGTGTGGTGACGTGCGAGCCCACCTGGTGTGGTGGAGCCATTCGCTGTTTGAACCACTGAATCGAGATGGACGTTTGCTTAAAATCTCTCTGGGCATCATTTTGTCTCCAAAACTTTGAGTTTTAGGTCAAGTAGGTAATTTTCCTCTTTGAAAAGTATCAAGTTGCATTTGTAACAAGGGCACTCTGTAGGAATGGGAACCGCCCAAGGACAGGGTGCTGCTGACTGCGCTTCAATCAGACGCGCTTGCCCCATCAGCGCCGGGGAGGGGAGCGGAGCCGCTGTGCCGGACGTCCCCTGCCGAGCACGCACTGCTCCGGAGCCCGGCCCTGGCCGGGAAGGGAGGAGGCTGGGGCACGGGATTTCCTCCTGCGTCAGTGTTTAGGGTACAGGGTGGAACCTTCCAGTGGCTCCCAGCTAACAGTGGGGCTGTGCTTCAGGAGAAACTGGATTACTCTGAGGATGGAGTCTTTCACCCAAGTCCAGAGCGGCACTTCCTCATGGGCATGCGGGTGACCTCAGGACAGGGCCACACACAGGCTCCGGGAGGCTGGACAATGAACGGCCTGAGGTTGGGTGTCCCCTCGTATACCATCCATGTGGGCTGGGACTCCTCCCTGGTCACCGTGGTGAGGACGAAGACTTTGTGCCGCATGAACGTAGGGAAAGTGAGCCAAAGACTCTGAAGGGAGGACTTTATAGGGAGTTTCTGGGTTTGACCACTGGTAGACAATTGCCCTTTACCCCTAAGAAAATCACCCCAGGGGAACAACTTTTCCTTAGCGTGCGGGACTCCGTGTGCAAGCTGTAGCTGGCCCGGGCCCAGGGCCAGCCCCGTCTGCTAAGTGGGGTGCTCCCTCCGTGGGGGGCCGTCACCCCCGTGTTTAGGTTTGGGTCTGTGAGGATCTTTGTTTTTCAGTGGAGGATCTTCTGGGGGGCCGCTCAGGGTGCGGCTGTTTCCTCTCGGCTCCAAGGTCCCCTCTCTCTCGTCCGTGCTGCGCACTGGGTCACCCCTAAAGGAACACCTGACCGTGAGCTCCGGCCCGCGGCCCCCCCGGTTCACTGCGCCTAGCACTGGATCCACTCGGGCCGAGACTGGTGGAACGGGGGCCTTTCTGGAAGGCACCGGGAGCCACGTCATCAAAAGCAGAACTGGGAGGTGTCCCAAAGGACTCTGACTTCATTCCTGAGGGCTGGTAGTTGCCCAGAGAGCATCAGTTCAGGCTGCGAGCTCCCGCTGCCCTGGAGCATCTGAGCTAAGCCTGGGGCCTGGGGGGCGGGGCAGCGGGGGTGGCAGGGTGCACGCCCTGTCACCAACCACCAACCACAGCGGCAGACCTGCCCGCCGCCCCTTGGCCCCGGCCCCTGGCCCCTGGGCTCCAGCAGTGCCGACTACAGCCTGCTCTCTGCCCCCCGCAGCGCGTGCCACTGAAAGCCTGTCGTGATAGCGACCTGCCTGGCGCTGTGCGTTCTTTTCTCTCTCCGTCAGGGATTTTAGCAAACACCGTGGCAGCAGAGACAGCAATGCTCTGCCAGAGACCATCCCCAGTCCCTTTTCCCACGGAAGGGGATTCGAGCCGTGGGGCCTAAGTGCCCAGGAGCCGGGCTGCATGCTGGAGCTCTCGGTGGTGGTAGGCACAGGCAGCCACTGGGCATCGACTGCTAGGAAACATGGGTCGCGTCCCTCTGAGCCACCTCCGTCATCTACGAGTCACTGTTCGGAGCCTCCGTCCCCGTTACAAACCTCCCTGACGCCGTATTTTACAAACCGAGGCCCTGCCGAGGCTGCAGAGGGGACCGCGGGGAGAGGAGGCCCGCGGCTGACTTTGTTGGCTGCACGGCGCTCTGAGATGGAGCCCTCTGCCCGCCCAGCGTGGAAGGACCTGCCTCACCTGTCCTGGGTCTCCTCGCTCAAGCTGTCATCGTACACGTTCTGCAGATGCTCTGACTCTGCGTCCGCAGGCACCTGGAACCTGCATGGGAGGAAGCAGACCCCGGGAATCTGGGAGGCCGCAGAGCCACATGCCGTGTGTGTGAAGCTCACGCTTCGCACAAGAACCAAACAAGCACACCCTCAAGAGCCCGCCTTGGGCTTCGGTCTGCAGACATTCTTCACAGAGGGCAGGGCGGCGCTGGTGGGCAGGAAGCCACACCGAGGCTGACAGTGGGTGGGGACGAGGTGGTTGGGAAGGCCTCTCGGTTGACATCCAAGCAGAGACCTGAGTGACAGGGATCCAGGGGACAGCCTGAAACAGGAACATTCCAGGCAGAGGCTGGGAAGTGGGAACCAGTCCACCTTCTTTGGGGATGGAAAGGCCATCAGGGACTGGCATGCGGTGAGGGGCTGGCAGTGTCAGAAGCGGGCAGGGAGGGTCCTGCAAGGGCTGCCAGGCCTGGTGACAGGCCGTGCTGGCTGTGGGACACACTGGAGGGCAGGGGCGTGTGTGACAATGGTGGCTTGGGTTGGGCGCAGCAGTGGGGACAGAGCTAGTGGATTGGGACAGTCGCGTGAACAGGACTTGGGGGTGGGTGGACCGGAAGAAAGGAATCCAGGACTTTCCCAGGCTTTCCCGGGAGCTCCCGGGAGAGGTGAACCGGGAGGAGCATGACGCAGGAGGAAGTCAAGTTCTGCTGGCCTTTGTGGGCGTGACACGCCCGTGAGACATCCAAGCAGAGCACCACCCCGGGAGGGGCAGGTGGGGGTGAGGGCCAGAGGCGGGCAACCGTGGGCCTGTAAGCGGCGACCCAGAGCAGCCCGCCTGTTCCGTGTTTTTGCCGATGTCCAGCCCCTGGTCACGCACGTGCCCTGGTTAAACCCTCGCGACTGGGCCCGCTGACTTCCGGAAGGGGTTGCTCCTCCCAGGGAGCGGCTGGGGCAACCCTCCCTCGCGCACTCGCTCCCAAGTGCCTGGGCCCCCCCCCCCCCCCCCCGGCCCGCAGTCTCACCTGGGCTCCAGCCTCTCCTTCACCTTGGCGATGGAGCGCACGTAGGGGGTGATGTGCTTGGTGATGGCGGTCAGGCAGGCGTTCTCCTGCCTCAGCTGGACCAGGTCACGGAGCTGGGCTGTGGGGCCAAGGCCAGAGAGCTGGGTCTCGTGGGCTTTAGAGCCTTACTCTCCAGCCTCACACCATCGAAACAGGCCGACTCTCGCCATCACTCCCTCTTCAGTTAAAGAGCGAGGGAAGACGTGTGAGGGCCCTCTACTCACAGGACCCTGACCTCAGACGCATGGCTTTCGGGCCAGCGAGTGGCTGGGAGGCTGAGGTGGGGCTAAGGGGAAGGGCGTGGGGGTTTCCGGATCTGGTTAGTGGGTCACTGCCTTCCTGTCCCTACTGGCATGTGGGTTAGATCCAAGACGGGGCGCGCCCAGCAGCACCCCTGGGACCTTCATAAATCTCCTGCTCGTTGGCCACCCGCTGGTAGGATTCCTCCCACATCTGAAAGAGAAAGTACGGGGCAAGAGTTGGCCTTTCCCTTCGTAGGATCTCTGTCCTCCCGCTACTCAGGGCTGTGAGGCACCCCCAGCCCGTCCCTGCAAACGCCCAGGTCCCAGAGCCGCCACACCAGGCCTCCCGCGACACTGGCCAGCGCCCTCTTCCTCCCGCTGCCTGTCCTAGGGCAGCCCACGTGCCTGCTGGTGGGGGGTGGGGGCTGCAGGGAGGCGGGTCCCCCGTGGGTAGGGGTGGCTACCTCCTGGAAGACGCCTCTCATGGCCTCCACGGACGTGAGCTGCGAGGCAATCTGTGCGTCCACCTGCAGGGCCTTGTGCAGGATGTCGCCCATGATCTCGGCCTTGATGAGCGAGTGGTGCTTGGTGAGGTCCCGGTGCAGCTCCTGCACCTGGTCCTTCAGGCTCTGCAGCTCGGCCTGCAGGTGCTGCGGGAGCGGCCTGTGAGGGCCCTGGTCCCCAGTGGTCCCCACAGGGGCCTCAAGGGAGGGGCCGGGACTAGACTCGGCCACTGCGCCCTGGTGGAGGGGGGCCCTCACCCCGTAGGAGTCCTCGTAGTGGCGACAGTGCTCCAGGAAGGGCGTGTCCTCCCCCTCTGCCAGCAGCACCTTGGTGCTGATGGGCCGGTGCAGCGTGGGCTTCTGGACCGGCGACCCCAACATCTTCCCCACCGGGGAAGGGCAGCTCGGTGCCCCCAGCCCCTTGGGGCCTGAGCCCCCTGCCACCCTGGGGAGAGAGCCAGCGTGGATGCAGCGGAGGGGTGGGGGTGGCAGGGCCTCTCCCGCCCCCAGCCTCCCAGGGCCTGCGGCAAGCCAGCCCCCAACGCCAGCGGCATCCAAGCGGGGTTTTCTAAAACCCGCAGGTGATGTCGACGTGTGGAAAGAGAGTCCCCAGAGAGGCTGTCAAGGCCGGTGCAGAGCAGACTCTAGGATCCCTCCCAGCATGGGGCCCGGACACTTGCACTTCTCCTGACTCCTTGCAGGTCTGGGGCTTTCTAGGTGCCGGTGGGGAAGCCAGGCCCCACCCTGAGCTGCCCCTTCCATTCAGTGCTTCCTCAGCACCCCAGCCTGGGAGCCCGGCTGCAGCGCGGTGGAGAGGGTCCGCGTCCTCCCGCTCCTCCCAGTCCGCCCTCGCCTGGCCGGGCTCCCCTGCGGATCTGGGTGCCCCAGGCGGCTGCTGCCCCGGCAGCACACCCCTCTCCCGCTTGGCATTGTAGACGCGGGGTTCATAGAGCTGGGGAGGGCAGAGCCCCTCCTGTCCCGGCCTCTCTGGCACCCCGCCCTGAGGGGAACCTCGGTGCTCACGAGTTGGTGCCGCCCCCGGCACCCGCTGGCCACCGAGGCCCGGGGGGCAGCAGCAGCGGTTCCAGGCAGCGTGAGAACTCCGCACGGTGGTCGCTGACGATCTGGGCAGAGAGGGCAGGTCTGAGCCTCAGGACCAGGCTGGTCCCTGCTCACCCTGCGCCACCCTCCCTCCTCACCTTGCTGCTCTGTTCTGGCCGCAGGGGGTGCGGCTGCGTGGCGATGCCCTGCAGCCTCTCGATCAGCTCCTGCGGGGCCCGGGGCAAGGCTGGGGTGATGGGGAGGCGGAGGCCCCGAGCACAGCTGTGTCGGGCACTTCACCTGGTGTCTGTTGGGGGCCTTAACGCTTCCCTGGGACTGGCTGGGAACCCTGACACCACTCCGCCCCAAAATCCACAGGGAAGTTTGGACTCCAGTAGGCACGGGGAGGAGAGGCTAATATTCCTCCCAGCCTTTGCTGTTCTTTTAAAAGAGACACAGCTGGGCCCTGAAGGGTTTGTCGATGACGGTGTGGAGGAGGGGAAGGTGAGCCCAGAGGCCCCTGGTCCAGCCCCGGGTGACAGGCTGCCAGGCCCAGAGGTGGCAGTCTCAGGCGAGGGGGGGTGCCTGCTGGGGAGGGGGAGGCCGCACAGGAGCTGGGGGACTCACGTAGCCCAGGTCCAGGAACTGGGCCTTGTTGGCCAGGCTGAGGAAGGAGGAGCAGATGACCAGGTGAACCTGCGGGAGGGACGCGGCTCGGTGCCTGGCCTGCGGGGGCCTCCGGGCAGCAGAGCCTGCCCCATGCACCCCGGCTCCCCTTACCTGCAGGGTGGGCAGCAGGGTGGCCAAGTGGGAGAGCTGCTCCTTGAAGGCCTTGTCCTTCTCCTCATACTGGCTGGGGGAGGGGCAGGCAGCCTCATCTCCGAGGGAGGGCTGCCCACCTCCCCAGTGGCCCCGGGGATGGGGGTGTCCACCCTCTGTGCACCCTCCCTGTGCCCCGCCCCACCCTGCCCTCCTCCCCGGGTGGACACCCGGATGCATTGCTTCCCATTGTAGGGGGGCCTGCCCAGTCCCCACCTGCGGGCCAGGCACAGGGAGGCTGAGGGGCAGGGGCACAGAGACCCCCACACACTCACCTCTGCACAGCCTGCAGCAGCAGCGCCTTCCTCTCGGCCAGCCTGTCCTGGGAGGCACAGGCTGCTGCTGGGGCCCAACTCCCAGCACCCCCGCTCCCCGGGGCCTAGCGCCGCCTGGCGCCCATGCTCTCCAGCCTGCGGTAAGGCTGCCTGAGCCAGAGGACTCCCTCCTGCACCCCACTCCTGAGAGCCCAGCGCCCTCACCTTAAATGCCACCTCCTGGGGGAGGTCTTCCCTGGCCACCCCCCTCCCAGCACCGGCTGGGGCAGCCCCGCTTCCTTGTGGGAACTCTCCGGACACCAGCGATGAACTCCTGGAACGCAGTGCGGTCAGTGCCCGCCGCCTTGCCCCACTGGGAGCTCCCCGAGGGCCGGGAGTGCTGGGGGGCGGGGGGCGTGCCCTACGCCGTGGGCGCGGTCCTGGCTGATGGGGACGCTCAGCCTGTGGCTGTCCGGTCCGGCCCACCCCTCACCTGCATGCTGCCGAACAGGGCGTGGATGGCGGCCTCCTCCTCCGCGGCGCTGCGCCGCACCTCCTCCACCATGGCCCGCAGCAGCGCGATGGCTTCCCGCGTGGCGGTCTGCAGGGCCTTCACGGCCTGGGGACCAGGCGGCTTCAGCCTCGCGGGCGGCCGCGCGCCTCCCCAGCCCGCCGGGCGGCGCAGGGCGCCCCGCACTCACCAGCACTGCCTGCTCCAGCCGCTCGCAGCCCTGCACGTAGGCCGACTCGAGGTCCACGCAGTGGGCTCGGCTCTCCCTGCGGGGACCCCGCGGGTGAGCCCGGCTCAGCGCTGCGCCCCACCCCACCCCGGGTCCCCTGGCCTCCAGCCCCCTCGACCCACCCCTGCATGTCCCGGAAGCAGCGGATGCACAGCAGCGACTTCTTGTCGGCGGAGAACATGATGTAGGGCTCGCTGTGCAGCGCTGCGGGGGGGACGGCAGTGAGCGCCGGGGCAGCGACCGCCCCGCCCCGTCCGCCCAGGACACGCCGCGCTCACTGCACTTCTGGAGCACGTCGCGGCTGCGCTGGCCCAGGGCCACGATGTCGTGGCGCGCGAACATGCGTGCCCGGTGCGTCTCTTCGCGGCAGCGCGCGCACAGCGGCTGCCCGCACGTGTTGCAGAAGTACGTGGTCTCCGAGTCCTGCGGGCCCAGCGCAGGCTCAGCCGGCCCGGCGGCCGGGCGCCTGAGCCCGCCCCCGCCCCCGCGGGGCCGGACGCCGGCCATCGGCCATCTCCACGCGCCACCGAGCATGCCAGTGCCGGGCAGGGCAGGAGTGCGGCTCAGTGCTGCCCTTGCGTGTGATGCCGACTCGCTAACGGGCCCGGTTTACCGATGAGAACTCCGGGGCTCGGGGAGCAGGTAAGAGGGTCTGTCTGGAGCGGGTGCCCTGAATGGGTTGGAGAGGCCCTACAGGGGGCTGGGGGAGGGCAGGAACTGCATTTGCAAAACATTTAATCTTCAACAAAAATGTGTGTGTGTGTGTGTGTGTGTGTGTGTGTGTGTGTGTGTGTGTAGACCTCTCAAGCCCCCCCATGTTATCCCCAACAGCAGCCAAATGGCAGTGCGCACCCTGGCCAAGCAGAGGCCAAATTGGGTGGGAGGGGGAGGGAGTAAAGGCAACGGGTTCCCTTGCACCTGCCAGACCAGGGCTGTGTCAGGACACAGGCCTCGGCTGTGGCACTGCGGGAACCGTGGCTGTAGAAGCACAAGCTCTTCCTTTGACCTCAAGGCCATTTCCTCCCCTGCTCTCCTTCCCGCCAGCTCGTGGCCTCACACTTACCCTGCACCCTGAGCTCCTGCAGGGCCATCCTCCCGGAACTGGGGATACCTGTCCAGCCTGCAAGGACCTGAGTCCACGTGCCCCTCACAGCCTGCCCGAAGGCTGCCCTCAGCTCTTGGTTTTGTGTTGTTTTGTTTTTTCCTGGGCTCAGGAGCAGGCTCACCCCTCACTGTCCCTGCTTCCCTCAGGGCTGCAGGTGGCTGCCCACAGCCACCCAGGTGGCAGCCGGCCTTCGGGGCTGGTCCAGCCCTGTGCCTGGCCCTCGCTTCCTGTGCCACTTCTTAGCCTGACTCTGCATTGGGGACCAGTAAGAGCTCCCCAGACTGAATGGCCTTAACCTCTGCCAGTGTTTGGCCATTAGCGCAGGCCACTTGTCCTGGACTTTAGTCCTCCCACCTGCAAAAGGGGTCCCCCTCTGGGATCCAGGGTGACTTAAGGAGGTGCTGCAGGAACCCCCTGTGGATCGTCCTCTGAGGACACGCTGGGTACACTCTGCCAGCGCCAAGACCCTGGGACCTGGCGCTCCGGCCCCCTACCGCCAGGCGCCCCTGCCTGCTTGCTGCACTCCAGGTCACAGTTGGCACAGCGCACCACCTCCAGGCCGTCCCCCGAGCTGTCCACGAGGAACTGGAGCAGCCGGTCCACCGGAGGGAGCCCGCCGGGGCCCTTCACCGCCGTCTGGTGTCTGCGGAGAAGTTGCCGCCAGGATCCAGATGCCCCTTCCCTGTGGCTCCCCACCCTCCCCAACCCCACCTTCTAGTCTGGGACTAAAAATAGGGCGGGAGGTGGGGTACCCAGCAGGTTGGCATCTGCTATAAATAGCTCAGCCACTGCTCACTCTGACCCAGCGCAGGGCAAGTCCTGGGACGGCAGGGGGGGCCCACCTGGGGCGACAAGGCAGGAGCCGGTCCTCAGGCCCCTTCGGTCTCTTTGGGGAAGTTTGCTACAGCCACACCTGGGTAACTCAGCCAGCATTGCCTGCTTAGGTTGACCGAAGAGTTCCGGGACCCCTGAGTGAGTTACTGGGAGTGTCCTGACCCAGTGTTGAGATCTGGGTTCTCCGGTGGCAGCAGTGAAAGCTCCCACGTGAAAGGTGCTTTAGCCCTGCTCTTGACCCCTGACCTTCTGTGGGAGGCCCAGGCCTCATTTAGTCTGACCCACAAAGCTGGCTGGAGTCGGTGCGCCCACCCGCAAGGGGCAGTGCGGGCCTGGCTTGGCCCAGCCGGGCCGGGCTGGGCCGGGGAGGCTTCCCCCCGCCCGCCCCGCCCCTGCCCCCGTTTTCGATGGGAGTCAGTGCCTCGCGCTCCCCGCACCTCGGCCTTCCCGGGCAGGCCCAGCCCACCTCCCTGGGGAGGGCCCGCCGGCCCGCTGGAGGCACTCACTGGCACAGCGGGCAGGCGAGGCGGCCGTCGATGGCGCGGCCGCGCAGGCAGCCGGCGCAGAAGTGATGGAAGCAGTCGAGAAGGCACGGGCGCTCGTACTGCGCCTGGCACAGTGGGCACACGAGCGGGTGGCTGCCCGCGGCGTCCAGGGCGCCTGGGCCCTCCAGGGGCGCGAAGATAGCTCCCGACATCGGTGGGGTCCTGGAGCACCGGGCGCGGGGCAAACGGGCAGAGGGGCAGGTGGAGGGCCGGTCCGGCGCCCGCGCCCCAGCCTCTCCCGCACTCCTGCGGGGGCCCTGGAAGGTCAGGCCGCTGCAGCCGCGATGCCTCCTACCCAGCGGCCTCCCCGCCTGCCACCGCTCCTACCACCCTCACTCCCACCCCAGGAATTTCCCCTCCCGGTGTCCTCTGAGTGGCCGGCAGGCGACACCCCTTCCGCGCTGGGCCGCACTGTTGCTTGGCCGTGGTGCCCCTGTCCATCTGGCTCAGGCTCTGCCCGCGGGGTCTGGCCTCAGCCACTCCATCCGCAGCCCGGGAGGAGGGGAGGTGGGGATGCTGCCGCTGCAAAGGATGGCGCGGTGCGAGGGTCTGAGGCTCCGAGGGGGCGGACCCCGCTTGGCTTGCTCAGGAAGACCGAGTAGCCAAAGGAACTCAGCGGCCTTGAGCGGAGACCCAAGTGGCCCCATTTCCTTCATGGCCAACTGGGGGCGGCAGAGTGGCAGCCGCCCCTTGACAGACGTACCAGTACTGGCGAGAGGGCCAGAGAGGGCTTAGGATCCCTGGCTTCACTCTGGCCGGTTGTGGGTTGTTGACATCCCAGAGCCACGGAGGTTGGGCAAAACTCGCCGGTCTCCTAGGGATGGAGGAGACTTCCGTGAAGTGCCACGTGCGCACTAGTCTCCCAGATAACTAGGCCCCATGCCCGGCATTGGTGAGCTCCCAAGACGGGCTGCCCCTCTGCCTTTCCTGGCCTGGCACGCGCTTGTTCTTCCCAGGATGAATCTCCCCAGGGCGCCCCCCATCCCTAGGCGGTTGTCTGCCTTCTTGCACGCTGAACTCTGGGAAAACAGCCCCCACCTTTCCATCCTTGCCCTTTGGGAAATCAAAGAGCCAAGCCCAGAGCCTGACCCACAGAAGGTGCTCAGTAAAGTCTTACTAATCAGAAAAAACTGGGAGGTAAAAATTCGATCTGGGTTTTGAAGGATGTGTAGGAGTTTGCTGGGGGGAGAAGGAAGAGAATTCTAGGCAGAAACCGCTTGTGTCCTTTTAGGGGTCCTCCCCAGCCCTGGTTCCATTTGTGCTCCACGTCGTGATAACAGTGACAATGGCTGATGTTTATGGGCCAAAGTACTAGTCAAAGCTCTTTTACTCCTTAACCCTGACACCCACCTTGGGAGGTAGCAAATGTTACCCTAGTAAGTGGCAGAGCTGCCATACAAAACGGGGGGGGGGCGCTTTATGAATGGATGATGCCTTAGCTTCCCTCTGGAGGGGCGGTAGAAGGCGGGTGTTTGTTCCTGATACTCAGGCCTGTGTAATCCATCCATTCCTGTCCTCATTTATTTGGACATTATTTATTGAGCATCTGTCATGGGCCACACACGTAGAAGGGAACACACCAGCCAAGGTTAACCAAGTACAAAATAAACAAGTACAGTAATGGCAGACGGTGTTCTACGGTCCAAAGAAAATCACTGGGAGGCTGTGATGGCCAGTGGCTGGGGGGTGGGCTGAGGGCCCCCTAGACACCCGCGGGCAGAGAGGGGCCCGAGACCCCGCAGGGGAGAAGTCAGACACAAGACAGCCCACGAAGAGGTCAAAGCAGAGGGAGCAGCAAGCACAACGTCCCAGGAGCAGGAATAAATTTACAGGAAAGAAAAGTGGACCCACGTGGGTGGAGGTGAAGGGACTTGGGGTCGGAGTGGGGCCGAGGCTGAGGGTGGGAGGTGCGGGGAGGGTGGTCTTGGGCCAGTGGGGGCGAGGGCAGACCCCTGACACTCCAGACAAGCGATGTCAGGCAGGCTGGTGACCGTGTGAGTCAGGGGTCCTGGGAGGGGTCAAGGCTGCAGACACAGACCTGGCGAGTCTTGCTTGGAGGCACAGGCCTGGGTCCTGCCAAAGGTCAAGTGTAGACTGAAATGAGAGGAGCTCCGTGCCCGGCGCGTCCCCCGCCCCGGGTCGGGAAGGAGGGGGCAGCAGCAAGGAGGAGGGAGGGGCCTGTGGTGCCAGATTCTAAGAGGATCAGGAAGAGGGGCACTGAGCCCTGAGCCGCCGGGCAGCCGGCAGATGTCACCAGGGACCTTGACCGAGCTGTCCAGGTGGCTGTGGGCCAAAAGCCCGACCAGAGTGGGAGCCCTGGAAAATGAGGAGAGGCTGCAGAGAGCACCCCGAGGAAGAAAGTAGTGAAGACGCTGTCTTTGCTTGGGCCGCCACAGCAAAATTGCCAGACAGGGCGACTTCAACCAGACACTTACGTGTCACAGTCTGGAGTCTGGGCGGTCCGAGATCAATGAGGCACCAGCCGGCAGGCCTGGCTCGCAGTGTGGAGCCTCTTCCTGGTGTGCAGCTGGCGGGCAGGCTTCTAGCTCCATCCTCATGTGGGAGACAATCCAGCGTCGCTTTATTTTAGAAGGGCACTAATCCCACCAGGGGACCCACCCTTATAACCTCATTGAAGCCTAATCTCACCCCAAAGGCCCACCTAAAACCCTTACACCAGGAAGTAGGGCTTCAGCCTAGGAACCGCGCAGTCTGCAGCCGAGAGGCCAAGGGAAGAGGTGTTATCCTTGAAAGGAAGTGGTGAGTGTTGAGGGATTGCTTTTCCTTTTTGCAGGAGGGAGATGGTAAAGAATGGTCCAGAAGAAAAGATACACTGATGGTTTCACGGGAGCGGGGAGGGCTGTGGGAGTGACGGTGTCCAGGGGGCCACAATGGTGCCGATAAACGTCTCAGATGGGACAAGGACCCTTCTTCCGCAGTAACAGGCGTGAGTCGCTGGGCGGTTAGACAGGAGGCAGGACTGTCTGAATGCTCTTTGGATTGCTCCAGTGTTTTGCAAGAGTGAGCCATGGAAGTGGTCAGCTGAGAGGCGGGTGTGGGGAGGGGTGCTTGGCACTGTGACCAGAGTATAAAATAGTCGCTTGGGAGAGGATTTTAGGATCGGTAGGCACTCCCCCTCCCCCCCAAGGGCTTGCTCAGGGTTAGGAGTGGTATCTGGAGAAAGCACACTCAGTTGTAAAGGGTTGTTAGTTAGGAACGAAGTAAACTAGGTCACCAAAGGGGGAAAGTGAGAACAGCAACACTGTGGGAAGCAGTTGCCCCTCCTAGGGGGTTATTATTAAAATGCCGAAGCTCCAAGGAGGGGCTGCTCTGCTGGGGTCTCGGAGGAACAGTGTTGGAGTGACTGCAACCTGGAGTCAATGAGTGATTCTGGAATGTTCCAACTGCCACTGCTCAGATGGAGCAAGAGTGGGCGACTGCGGGCAAAACAGGACAAGCAGGAAGCGAACAGGGAGTCTCTTCTTTCTCCTCCAGCCTGGTCCCCCTCTTGCCCGCTGTTGAAAGAACTTGGCCAGGAGCAGCTGGCGAAGGAGAAATGTGGTTTGCAGTTGGGAAGAGGAGGGTGGGCTTGGAGCGTGGTCAACTGGCACAGCAGGCCTGAGTTTTGGCTTAGGCCAGTCAGTGCCGTGTTTCCCCCACCACTGTAAGTCAGGGCTGGGCTTTGGCTAGGCGAGTACCTTGCAGCCAGGTAAAGGAGGTTGGGGGGTGTTTGCAACTGAGTAGTTACAATGCAGGGCCCATGAATGTAATTGGTAAGGACAGGAGGGTGAGGGTGATGGAAAGCATTTCAGTTTTTAAACAAAAATTTTAACTTCCACAGCAGAACGGTCTTTTTTATATTTATTTTATTTATTTAATTTTAAGGGGAAGGGAGAGAGAGAGAGAAACATCAGTGTGTGATTGCTTCTTGCGCGCTCCCTACTGGGGACCTGGCCTGCAACCCCAGGCATGTGCCCTGACTGGGAATCAAACCATTGACCCTTTGGTTTGCAGGCTCACATGCAATCCACAGAGCCATACCAGAAAGGGCAAAAAGGTCTTTTTAAAAGAAAAGGGCTATTATGCCATTGCTAGCAAAAACAAAAAACAAAAAACTGGTCTTGGGGCATGGAGTTCAAACCACCAGCAGTGGAGGTTTGCAGGCATTTTTATACATCAAGCAGGGGGGAGGAGGACGTAATTTGTTTTGAAAGGAATTACATTCGCTATAGACAAAGGGGAAGGGGAAAGGAGACCAGTCCTGGAGTCTGCAATGAAGTGTCCGCTGCTGTGGATTAGCTGTGGGCAACAGGTGGGAAAGTTCATGTATACATAAGTGGAGGTTCCTAAGTAAATTTTGATCTTCACAAAAGCCGCCACCGGGAAGTGAGTCCTAAATTCTAACAGATAAAAGGGAATGTGAGCAGTCGGTCGTCAGAGTTGGTCCACAGCTGTTAACAGGGCAACTGTTCCCTTTCTCTCCCTCTCCAGCTGCTGCGATTTTAACTTAGAACGTCTCCATTTTTTTAGGCCTGGGGAAGACCCTTGCTACTCAGCTTGCGGTCCATGAACCACCACTAGCGGCAGCATCTCCCGGGAGCTTGCGAGAAACGCACGACCAAGCAGAGACCCACTGACTAGGACTCTTCCTTTTAACCGGTCCCGGGAGATTCCTGTCCACACGCCAGTTTGAGAAGCGCTGGCAGAGTGAGAACAGGGGGTGGTACGCGGGTGGGCGGCTTGCTTTTGAGATTGTGAAGGGCTCAACCTGGAGCGTACCTGACTGCGGCAGGAAGGAGGGGCCAGCGCTCGGAGACGCAGCCCCGGGGCACTAGCTTCCAAGTTGGGAGTCAGGTCGCGGGAAGCCAAGTGCCCTCGGGCACTGGGACCCCAAGGGCCGGAAGGGCCTGGTCTCTCTTCCCTCAGTTAATGGGTTCGACTCCCATCCTATTAGCTAGTAATTTATGGTCTAATGAATTTCTTTTTCTTCCCAAGACTTTCAAACGTAGAGCGAACCCCTGTACTTTTCTTTGGGCTCGTCCGCCTGGCTCCCCCACTCCGATCCTTCGCTACGAGACCGGCCTCCTGGACCCCGTCTTCGCTCTATTACCTCCAGGCCAGAGACCGGAAGGGTTTTGCGAGCAGGGAAAAGCAATCGCTCCCCGACCGTACAGAACAGGCGGCAGTGAAGGCGACCAGGGGCGTGGCAGAGCGATTGGTACGGCCTGGCCCCTACGTGCGCTACACGCTGCGGGCTCTTTGCGTCTGCGCAGTGCGCGCAACCCCCTTTCTGTCTCTGCGGCCGCCATGGCTCCCATGGTTAGTATGGCTCCGCGTGAGGCCTCAGCGCCGGGACTGGCACGTGGGCCTCGCGGGCCCGGCTTCTACGCGGCTCGCGCGGGACGGCGTTCTGCAGCGCCCGCCCGGGGCTGGACTGGCAGACCGGCGGGATTGGGGCGGGGCTGCCGCCAGGCTCAGCACGCTGTGGGCGCAGGAGGCCGCGGCCTGGGACCCGAGAGGGAAACCGGCAGCTCTCAGAGGCCGCGGCTCGGCCTCGGGCCTCAGCCTGCGGCCGGCAGGGAGCTGGAGTACAGAGGCTGCGGCCTGGGCCGGTCAGCGGCCCTGGGGGACCGGCCGGCGGGAGGCAGCCAGGATCTGGGCCTGGTTACCTGGGCGGAGGGCGGCAGGGAGTAGGGGACCTGCTACCCCTGGGAGCTGCGCATCCGGGAACCCTATGGCCAGGACTCGGGGACGCGTGGAAATGTGCATGCAAGGTGGTCTGATGGCAGAGAGAGGCCCGAGTTTGAGGACCCCTGTAGCGTCCCCAGAGGAAGTTAGTACAGGGCGCAGCTGTACAGACCCTTTTTCGTTAGGGCTTCGTCCTCTCTCAGCCGGGCTGCGACGGGCGGTGCGGCGTCCTCGTGTCGTTGCTGCCGGTCGCGCTCTTCCCACGCTCCTGGGGAAAGTTGGATTCCTGCTGCCCCCTTTCCTCGGGGCACGCCTGTTGACACGCTCGGTTCATCAGCTCCTCTTGGGTGGGCTCTTCCAAGTGCTTCTCTGCGTTTGTATGCTTTTGCTTTAAAAGCATGATGGCAGGTGGTGGTTTTTACGTGCTGACATTAGATTTCCGGGTCTAGATCCGAAAGCAGCCCTTTCGATTGTAACTAGGAAGAGATGTCTTAAAAACAAATACCAAGAAAAAAAAATCAGTGATTTTCACAGTGGCCAAATGTTTGAAAAGCTGATGCAATTAACTGCAGTTTTAACTGAAGTTCTTTGAAGCATAAAGCTGGGTTGGTGGGGTGGTATTCAGATGTGTTCTTGTAAAGGTCTTTAGGTTCTGCAAAAGATTTTTAGGGTTCAAGTACAGGTAAGTAGGTTGTGCAAAGGCTTTTTTTAAATGCTGTTGGCATTTGTAGCGGGAGAAGATGGATGTAAGCTTCCCTGTGAGAATGAAGGAACTAGAACCTTGTAGGGTATGTACCAACTGATGGTTTGAAAGCGGTAATTCATAAGTTAGTCAAGGCCAGAAACTGGTGACAGCGTTGTAATTAAAACCTGAGTTGGCCTTGCCCTCGTCCCAGCTGGTACCTGGGCTGCGAGGGTGCAGTCACTGCTGCTGCTCCCAGGAGGGGGGTAAGGCAGGATTGAGGGAGAAGTGGCCACGCGGGGACAGGAGCTGGGTCTGGAGAGTCAGGACAGTGTTGATTTTAGATTAAAATTGTTTTAGGTATTCCTGCAAGGCATTCGCATGCCTGTGCCCAAATCCTGGGATGAAAGAAACATTTATGGAAATTTTCATGGCATGTAAAAGGAAAAGTTCATTTTACCGTGCTTCGTAAACTAGCAGACCTTCACGCCCACAGAGGCTGGGGAGGCTGGGAGGTGGAAGTGGGTCAAGAGTGCCCCGCGATTTCCCCTTCCCGGGGGCCGAAGCTCAGGTGCCCCCTCCTCCGGCGGAGTGTGGCCCTTGGTGCCTTGCAGAGGGACACAGCGCCACGGGTTGTGCGCTTGTATGGGCTTTTCCACCTCTGGTGGTTTCGGTCTGTGTGTGTGTGCGCGTGTGTGTGCGCGCGCGTGCGTGTGTGCGCGCGTGCGCTCGTTGTCCCTTCATCTCTGTCTTTTTTCTTAGAAAAAGCTTGTGGCGAAGGGGGGCAAAAAAAAGAAGCAGGTTTTGAAGTTCACCCTCGACTGCACCCACCCTGTAGAAGATGGGATCATGGATGCTGCCAATTTTGTAAGTTGTGCGCTGTGTGCCTCTCGGACCGTCCTTTTGGGGTAGTGCCGAGGAAGCCCGCCGGAGCGTGGCCCAGCCTCGCCGTTCCCTGTCTCGCTGTCCCGTGTGTGTGACAGGGTTGCGGGGAACACTCCAGCTGGGCTGTGCCTGCCTCCTGGTGGTGTTTTCCTCCTTCGGTGTCCAAAAGTCTTCCTTAAAAGTCACCGGGAAGCAGGTCCACTTTCTTGAATCCACGTCCCCTTGGCACCCCGAGGCGTCTGGGTGGGAGGAGGAGCCCCCTGGTGCCGGGCCGTGGGGCCGCGCGGTATCTCCCCAAGCTTCCCGCTCCGGGGGCGGGGGCGGGCGGGCAGAGCTTCCGCGTGGCGCAACGGCCGCAGGCTGACCTGTGTTTGGAGCTTGGTTTGTTTTTTCCCCCAGTCCTTGATCCGTACTGATTTTTGGCCCTGTATTTGGTCCATTCCTCAATATTCCTCTTGCACTTAAATATAGAAAAATCGACATTGCCACATTTTGACTGTGGATCTTGGTGTTGGCGTTTCCCCCTCTAGTAACCGCGCTTGAGGAATTCTGGCTGCTGCTTGCACAGAAGCCTTCTAAATTTACGTTTATTCTGTCTCCAGACCATCAGCTATTGCCAGGATAATATCACTGTAATGTGAATAATTTTCAAATGAAAAAAATGAAAAGTTTGGCCTATGGCCACTGATTACACAGAGAAGAATCTGATAATCCCTTATGTACGTGCCTTTTGAGTCCCTGTCTTTTAACAAGTCCCCTATTTGGCTGTTTAGTTCTTTCCCCATCCAGTGATTTCTTGCTTTTTTTCTGTGGCGGCTTTTCCCTCCTGACCTTTGTGGCCCCTTCCGGTTTGTGTCTGGGGCCCCGCCCATCGCTCCCTCCTCCCTTCCCCTGCACTCATCTCTCTGTGATTGTCTGTTTCTCTTCTAGAAGTTCCCAGAGCATAGAAAACAGTCTAAGGTGCAGAAGTCAAGATTTGTGACCTAATCACTTTACCACATCATTAGTTAGCGTATTGTATATTGGGGCTTTTAAATAGAGGATAACAGGAGTTTGCAGCTGAAAGGGACTTCATATTGTGATAGAAAACCAAAGAGAAAAAAAGTAATAATAATCTAAAGAAAGGAAACCAGGAAGAGTTCTCTTTTCCGGACAAAGACTCCTGAAGCCCCTGGCAGTGCAGCGCTGGCCCTGCCGCCACAGGGCTGTGCTGGGAGTCAGGTCTAGGCTCCGTGGCTGCCGCCCCTCCCGTGCCCCGCGCGTGTGCCCGCGGCAGATCTGTGACCGTTTTGGTCACGGGACGTTTTGCTCCTTTGCCGAGGTTGAAGAGAGAAGAACTCTGATCGTGCTGAAGACAGTGCTTTATACCTGTTAGGTTCGGGAAGTTGCAACTTTGGTTGTCGGGACCAAGCTGGTAGCATTTTAGCCCTTGGATTTCCTGTCTGCGCTTCACCTTCGACCCAAGAGTCAAAGCCTTCTCCGCAGAGACGCATTTGACCTTGTGTGGAACGGTGAAGTGTGTTCCTGCTGGGCTTTTGTTTTCATATGAGCTACGTCAGTAAAGTTGAACAGTGCTGCTTTCTAATTGCTATTCCTAGATTTTAGACCATACATTAATAGCTAAAGATTTGCTGTCATTTTTTTTAAAAAGATTGAGCAGTTAAAAAAATGTTCAGTGTAAGGACTATAAAGAGTAAAATACTGTGCTGGCAAGGCGGGTGGACTAGCCAGTCACTTGACCAACGGGCCAATTTCATGACTTTTCCAGGAGCAATTCCTGCAGGAGAGAATCAAAGTGAACGGAAAAGCCGGGAACCTCGGCGGAGGTGTTGTAACCATTGAAAGAAGCAAGAGTAAGATCACTGTAACTTCTGAGGTGCCTTTTTCCAAAAGGTATGGGGAGAGAGGAGAGCCGCTCACCTGCATCCCCGCAGGGAGACCCCTGCCCTTGCCCAGGACAGGGAGGCTGCGGCTGGCGGTGTGGGTGCCTCTGGGAACTTCGGGGGCGGGGCCCAGGGTAAGGAGGCGGTGAGTGAACGGATGCCGTTTCCGTAGTTAAAAGGGATCAACTTTTAGTAGTTTAAAAAAGTTACTTTTCACAGGTTAAAGTATCTCAGACAGCAAAGATGGGCAGACTCGCTTAGAGTGCATTCTTTTTTTAAATTTTATTTGAAGGTGTTATTTAATTTTTGGAGAGACAGAAAGGGAGGGGAAAAAGGAGAGAAACCTCGATCCGTTGCTGCCTGCTGGCCCCCTGCTGGCCCCCGGCTGGGGACCCGGCGCGCACCCCAGGCACAGGCCCTGGCTTGGCTGGGAGTTGGCCGGAGACCTTTGGGTGTGCAGGGCCACGCCTGGCCACAGCCGCGCCGGCCAGGGCAGGTCGTATTCTTGAAAATGGAGACCCTGCTCCTCTGGCTCCAAGCCACGGTGAAGAACTTCTATTTATTTATTTTTAAAGATTTTGTTTACTTATTTTTAGAGGGGAAGGGAGGGAGAAAGATAGGGAGAGAAGTATTGATCGGCTGCCTCTCGTACACACCCCCAACTGGGAACTGAACCGCAACCCAAGCCTCTGCCCTGGTTGGTAACTGGACTGGCGACCTTTTGCTTTGCAGGGTGACACCCAGCCCACTGAGCCGCACTATTCAGAGCAAGAGCTCTCATTTTTAATTTTATATATGTTTAACCCTCACCCAAGGATATGTTTTTACTGATTTTAGAGAGAGGAAGGGAGAGAGAGAGAGAGAGAGAGAGCGCGAGCGAGCGATCAGGTGCCTCCCATACACACCCTGACTGGGGATTGAACCTGCACACTCGCTGTACGGGAGGGTGCTCCAGCCAGCTGAGCCACAGCCAGGACTA